TGTAGAATTTTACGATACATTTCACGAATTCAAAGACTGAATATTAAATACAAATAATATTTTACTCATTTAAAGGTTAGAGCATGTAATTAGTTTTAGTGAGATTCCAGACTGCAAAATATTATTTGAATGGTCCCTAATGCAGTTACATGTATATGCCTTAATCTATTGTACGTTTATGGTCGTAGTTTAAGTGTGTTTTACATTATACTAACTGTTTTGTTTTGGAACTGTCTACTAATTGACATGAATTTCAACAAGGTATTTATAATTCAATGATTTTTTTACAATATGTTTACAGAAAATGTCAATGAATCTTTATCTATCCTCATAAAGGATCATAAAGGCGCACGTACACGCTATTGGTACGTTAGCATCATAGAACTATCTATCTCGTGTAGAGACCAGATACAAGTCATAATCGGTGAAAATAAATCATACTTGTGCACTGGGCATTTATAAAAATATACACTTGATCATGACACTACAGACAGACAGTGCCGAAACAATAGGTACTTATGTGATCATATCCTGGACGACTACTAGTACCAGAAGACGAACAAATGTTGTTGCGCATAGTACTCCGCAACAATCAATTCTCATTGGAGTACAATCCAAATATTGCATCGTTACCAAGACAAACAGGACAATATTTACAAAAATACACAGTTCAAAGTTAACTAACATTTATGTCAGTATATATTCAGGAAACTGCCGGGATATATACGACGTTTTTCACCTTAATTGGAACCTCAACAACGTCATCATAACGAACATTACTATGTGAGATAGTCTTCAGCTATATATATAGGTTGGTTCCCTCCGTAAAATATCCAGTATGCCTTCGGAATATACAAAGTATTGTCAAGAATTTCAATAACGGCCAGGGTTTCTATACAGAACGTCAGAGGCGCACAGAGGGAAAATAATGACGTGTATCCGTCAATAATACGTTTTTAATTTTAAAATCACGTGATATACACATCAAATACTTAATTAATGTCTTAAAAAATTATTACAAATTATTTCACACACGATAAAATAATTTTCACAGCACGTTACTATATCCCTTACGTATGCGGAAAATATATATACTGCATGGTGAATGTTTAACAAATAACTGGTACTCGAAAAAAAGCATTAAGGCAGGTTAATCCGTAATATATGTGTAATACAGGTTTCAGAAAGGGTATATAATGTGACATTCCCGGCTTAGGGTTTATATCCCCTTCGCCTTCGGCTCAGGGAATATAAACTCATGTCTGAGACATGAATAACATATAATATACACTACCAGTCACAGAGGAATATCGACTTACTGATTGATATTTTAATTTTAGATTTTTAGTCTTAGATACATGAATTGTTTTTTTAATTTTTTTTATTGGCTTTGAACTAGCTGTCAGTAACTGCGAGTACTCTCAGATATACACTTAGTGTCTTTTTTGTTGTTAGGGTTGAGGGATGGATATATAACCTGCCACGTCCTGTCTGTGTTTTTGCTTGATGTTTTTCTTTGTATCGATTTGATGAGTTATAGTCTTTTTCAACTGATTTTTAAGTTTGTTCTTAATTATGTTGTGCTGTTACGCCACTGTCCCAGGTTAGTGGGAGGGTTGAGCGCTCACAAACATGTTTAACACCGCCGCATTTATTATATGCCTGTACCAAGTAAGGAGCCTGTAGTTAAGTGGTTGTCGTTGGTTCATGTCTGTCATATTTGTTTTTTCGTAAATCATTTTGTTATAAATTAGGCCGTTAGTTATCTCAATTGAATTGTTTCATATTTTTCATGTCGGGGCCTTTTACAGCCGACTATACAGTTATGGTTTTTCTCTTGTTGAAGGCCGTACGGTTGCCTATAATTGCTTACATCCACTTCCTTTTAACTTTGGTGGATAGTTGTCTCATTGGCAATCATACCACATCAACTAAATTTATATTAGTGGTATGGTGGAGTATACACCTGAGGCGTGACTTCCAGTTGTAATATAGACCTAGATAAAACCCAAACCTACTGAAACTGAAAAAACTACAAAATACGAAGTGTTCCTCAGATAAAAATGCGTATATAAACACAAGATAAGCTATTAGAACTAATTTAAAACTTTGTCAATTCAAAACTGTGTAACTGAATTATATAACAAAATGTTGAGGAAATTGTTTAAACAGATTAAATTCAAACTCATTTTATCTAAAGGAAGAAAGAATAGATCGGGTATTCTTTCTTTCGAAAAAATTACGTTAAATCTAATCTGTTCAAACAATTTCCTCGACTCATTTGAAATGTGACATTTTGTCTTTAATATCTTATAACCAAATCAATGAAAGCAATAGATACATTTTGTAGTCATCGTCTTCTCGTAGTCAGCTGGGAAAACATTTCATATTGAACATTTAAAGTTCTATACGTTTAACAGCAACGTTGAGATTTATAATCCAAAGCAGAAATGATAGTATTGCTGCCTTAATTACTCTTTATGGTATTGTTGCCATAATTACTCTTTATGGTGACAATTCTCACAACGATGTTAATTCTTCTAAGATCTTAATTTAATTGCCGTGTACGATGCAATCGAGAAAGATAAAAATTATATTACTTCTGTTCAATCAGTTTCTGTGAAATATTTTGCGCAAGTTTAAAATTCAATTTGTCAAAGGATAAGCGATATAATAAAACGGAAAATAAGTAGAATGCTACAGATAAATATAAACTTGAAATCTATTGAGATCAAAATAAATTCTCAAGTTAAATGAAAAGAAATCCCACCAACTTTTATTAAATCTCCATAAAACCATGGCGAAATACAAAGTCTAAATCACCGGACGGAAAAGATCGGAATGACCTTGAGGTCATATGGAACGAGTTTCTTGTATTTATTTTGTTATCGAAATTAGCGAACCAATTCCTGCATATATACTAAACTGACTAATCCTGTATGCACTTTTTTAAAAATTTATTTCGAATCTATAATGTATAATCGACAAATAACATTTCATTCAGTGATTGTTTCGAGTTTGTCACCGAAGTTTACCGGATCGTGACATTGATAACACGTGATTGATAATCAATCACTACAGAGGAGGACGTTGAGCACTTGAAAAATATGTGAATTGATAGAGCCATGGTATTTTTTTTAAATTTTTCATGCGTTCCCATTTTTTAATTTTAATTTTGCGGTGGCTGAAGTTCTAACGAGAGGTCTCGGATTTTAGGTGTCAGACCACCAATTCACCCACTCTAATTAATAACATATGTAAAAGTAGCCCTTCGCTGACAAAGAATAGTCTTTTTGATGTCATTGTTTACTAAATTTGCAGAAATGAAACTTTTTTTGCATTAAGAATTGAGAACTAATGCGCTCCATAGTAGACTTATTTATGATTTCCATAAAACCAGGGGTTATTTTAGTAGCAGTTGCCTTCCGAACGGTCATGTTACTCTACAAGATTTTAAACATTGGTTGAAAATTGACATGTAGAAAGGTGCTACATGTATATTTCAGGATATTCCTGGTTCTGAAGTTAAACTTAAGGTAAAATATTTAGAAAGCTGTGAAAATTGAAAAATTTGGTTGAATAGATAAGGATTTTGAATTGGTGGTTTCACACCTTTAAGGTCACTGCATACGGGAGAATATCTGCGAGTTAGAATACGGGTAGACAATAATTCAATAGCACTTACATTTATGAAGATTTTGATAATATAAAGGATTTTCTTTTACAAGATATTTCACGTACACTTGTTTTATAGTAAAACGTAGCCATTCAAGTATATAAAACATATTCGACTTTTTTTTTAATCTTTAGAGCCATATGACTTTTAAAGAGTAACTACAAAACAACACATATGAATATCCTCTAGCCGCCTTAAAATACATTTAAAAAATGGGAAGGAGATTCCCCTGGTTTTATAAGGAATTGCAGATATTTTTGTAGTACAATTTGAAAAGATATGGCAATTTCCATGTTTCCCATTTACAATCTGTTTGGATGAAAAAAAAAGAAGAAAAAATCAGTAAACGTGATGTGAATTTTTCATTACAATCCCGAATCAGTTGTTGAAGAAGTTGCGAATACAAGATGAATACCCCTTTTGTATATATAGAGAATATGATATGGCTTTTTCAATATCACATCCGTACCAACCCGAGACACCAATATATATGTATATTATTTGATAGATACGGTGTGTGATATTGAAAAAGCCATATCATTATTCACTTCATTGTATAAGATCATACACCTTAAGTAAATGTTTTTCTCGTGACATGAAGTAATACAGATTAGTGGTTTGATAAAGTGAAATAAAGTTGTCGATATTCAATGCAGATTTCCTTGTTCTAATTGCACGCCAAACAAAAAATCGAGGTATCTCTTATTTACATATCTCTATCATTGCGATTTAGTTCAAATATGACGCTTCTAAGATTTTGAGTAATGACAGCATCATGGAACATTTCCTTTTAATTTATGGTTAAGTCACTAAAGGATAAAGTTTTGTGGTAGAATATAACATCTGCATATATTAGTTTAAAAGGATTAGAATACATTTGTATTAATCTAATGGAAATTATTTAAGACGCATTATCATTTCTGCAAACTAGCTCTCTCGAAAATTAGCAACATAAATTTATTAAAATGTGTTCTATAAAATTGCAATGTCTGAAATGTCTTTAAATTACATTACATTTTATATCTAATTTAAAGTAACAGTGCAAATTCCTTTGAATCCGAACTGCAGTGGAAGACATATCTGTTACTAATTGAATCAGCACATGTTCGTTGCTCTGTATAATTAGAGCAAACAAAGGGAGATATTATTCAATTGAAAATTTATTTTCAATAATTAAATTACTTGTAGAAAGTCTCGATATTTTTATCAAATTAGAAAATCTTATTTCCATCAGCACCACAGTAAGCAGGCGATATAGACCGATAGTTTTATAGCAACGACAAACCAAGTAAAACTAATTTATTGTAACATGTATGTGCGCTGGAGCATAATCAAATAAACACAAAACTTCCTTCGTTCTTGATATGCAACATGACAATACCAGTGTCTGTTCTAGTTTATTTGTAACTACACTTATCTTTTTCGTATCATTCAGATATACATTCCTTTTTGAAATTGCTAAATTATTTTCATACTGTATAAAATAATTAATTATTACTATGCTTTAAATTTACTACAATTTGATTACAATAGACCATAATAAATGAATGTAATTTTTTTTTAAAGAGCTAGTACAACCATTTCTAAAATTATACTTCGCGTTACATGAAATCCATAATTAAGATAGAACCATTGATAAAAGAAATACTTCACAAACATTGGTTCTGTTTTTATTTATAAGATTTAGAGCTTAAAATATAGTATAGACAGTGGGAGATGTCTAGTGTTGAATACCTAGTCTGACCTCTAGCTTTCTGTGTTTTTTTTATTGCTTTCTTACTGACATATACCTCATATATCCTGTTATACGTAAACATGTACCTGTCCTATCTTTTTATACGTATACATGTGCCTGTCCTATACCTTTATACGTATACATGTGCCTGTCCCAAGTCTTATTGACATATACCCCATATATCCTTTTATACGTATATATGTGCCTGTCCAAGTCTTATTGGCATATACCCCATATATCCTTTTATACGTATACATGTGCCTGTCCCAAGTCTTATTGGCATATACCCCATATATCCTTTTATACGTATACATGTGCCTGTCCAAGTCTTATTGGCATATACCTCATATATCCTTTTATACGTATACATGTGCCTGTCCAAGTCTTATTGGCATATACCCCATATATCCTTTTATACGTATACATGAGCCTGTCCAAGTCTTATTGGCATATACCCCATATATCCTTTTATACGTATACATGTGCCTGTCCCATATCTTATTGACTTATTGACATATAACCCATATAATCCTTTTATACGTTTACATGTGCCTGTCCCAAGTCTTATTGACATATACCCCATACATCCTTTTATACGTTTACATGTGCCTGGTCCAAGTCTTATTGACATATACCCCATACATCCTTTTATACGTGTACATGTGCCTGTCCCAAGTCTTATTGACATGTCATATACCCCATATATCCTTTAATTCGTATACATATGCCTGTCCCAAGCAAATAATTTCGTGACATGTTATAATATCTAACATCTACGACATATGGTCTGTTGGATAGTTGTCTCACTAGCAATCATACCACATCTGCTTATGTTATATATCTTATCGTTTAAGTGTTCTAGAGAATTTGGTGTTAATCTTAGATAGCCTCTAATAGATTTATCGACAACTTTTTAAGATTTTAAACTTTGACATATTGTTTAGACACTTATACATTTTTGAAGTTCGTATGATGATCTCTATATGGAATTTGTTTTGTTTTGTTTTGTTTTCATTTTATTTGTTTATGTGTGTTTCATACATGTACATGAGCTAATGACCATACACTGAAAATAAAATTTTCTGTATGTTAGATAATTGTTGTACAAGCACATCAGCAGAAATATTTGACGTGTCAATTCGAGCTGATAAATCACTTACTTTTTCGCTTACACTACTAGGAAATAATTTAGGGTGCAATAATCGGCTTAGAAATAGCTTATTCATCATTTTTAAGTTATTTTTTGCATTCGATCCAATGCACAATCCCATATAGCACGGAAGATCAAATTCACATGTGGTACTTCTCGCTTTAGTTTCATTACCGTATTCGGTGTCTTGAGTATCATAATAAATGTCACAGGAAGGTTCTAGATTATCAACATCATCTAAATCGATCATCTTGATTGAACTGTTTACTAGAAGAAAATGGGTTTCTTTGAAGTCTCTAACTCTTAAAGATCCCAAAGGGGAATTGTCCAAATAAGATAAAAAGTCCGCAAGATCGATTGCGTGCTGAAGTCTACTGCCGAAAGTGTTAAACTGTAAATTAGCTACGTTTAATCGCTTTCCATATTCATACACTGCGGTGACGCCGTGTTCGGATAGGTCGGTGCTGTCGGTTTCTTCGCTCCTTACACAATATCCTAACAGTTTTATGAATCCCGGGTGATCCATTTGTTCTAGCAAGAGAATTTCCTTCATTAACTTCATGTTTGGAAACATGAAGCATTCGTGTCTTTTGACTATATCTTCATCTGACAATTTTTGAAGGCAGTTTCTTACGTCCTTCTGATGTCTAGTAACCATTTTTACAGCAATCTCTTGGCCGTGGTAAATACCTAAAAAGGCTTGTTTTGATACTCCATGTCCGATTTTTTGTTTTAATGAAATCTTGTTTATATTTGTACAGTTGAAAAGGTATTTTGGTTTCACGATATTTGTTTCGGTAGATGACCAATCAGATTTAGGTTTTTGTGCTTTTATAATTCTTGGGTGCACCATTTTATCCAATTCGTTCATGAAATTATTCTTATCTTGGGATAATGTATTTCGGCCCAATAAACTTTTGATAAGTGAAAGTAAATAGACTTTCTCCTGTTCCAGTTCGTCATATTTTTTAACCAATGATTGTAAATAACGAGACATGTTTGTATCAGGTTTGTTATTTTTCAGTACGGCTGTCGAATGAACGGTTTCATCTGTTGATATGTCTGTTTCTTCACAGAAGTTATCAATTACACGAAACATAATGGACAGGTATACTATTATAGGCACAAAAATAAGAGACAACTTCATGTAACGTCTATCCATCTTTGTTACACTTTGTTATCACTTTGGAGTATATTTGAGTGAAAAAGATATCCTAATTTCGATGGTAAATAAATCCTTTGACTTTTTAAATTGAATTTATAACCATTTCATATCTGTTGTAGTAACGATTTGAGCAAATCATCAGCATTATCAGTTGTACGCTTTTAAATTGGAAAAAAATGCAACACTGTTTTGTTTGTAAAAAAATCCCAGTCGGCTAAGAGCTAATGGCGATTAAATTTGATTCCAATATTCCAAATAAGTGATTATAAAAATCTACTATACAAATTTGTCTATTTCCTTTCAAAGTTGTTTTAAGCACTATACTTTCGTCCAGAGTCTTTCGGTAATGCGTATGTAGACGATTCATTAAAAAAGATAATACGGCCGAATCTAGTACATGGCACATAATGTTCAATTACCCCAAAGTAAACGCCAATTTCTTATAATTATTTAGACTTTCTATAGCTCCGTCATTAATGATTGAGAACTGTTGTCTGAACAAATTAGTTTTTATCTTCTTTTGTCACTAAGATAGTTGATGATTTGTTTTAGACCATATTGATGGCAATACCAATTCAATAATGCCAAGATGAATATTCCTTAAAGATGAGGAAAATCGCATTTATCTATGGAAAATTGGTAAAGATGTTATTTCTTCGTCACCTGTTGTTTATAATAATGAAGTTATTGTAATCCCAAATAGAAGAAGACATGCGGCACTCTAGTTTTATTATAAATTTTCCCCGTATTATCAATCGATCTCGAACTTCTCTTATTACGAGTTGACTTTGTTAATCAATTTGTAGTATGTCCGGAACACAAATTGTCTCCCAGATGTGGGAATGATAGAACTTAATAAAGAGGAAAATATGCCTATTTCTTTTTCTAAAACTATGTAAAACAATTATACTATACATTAATGGATCTAATGTTCGGTGTTCTCGGAGTCTATTATTTTCCAACACTTTATGCCATAAATTTCAATTTATATCCAATTTTATCGTATTATCTTTATGTCTGTTGATGAATATCTTCGATTTTCTTGCCTGGAAATAAAAGGTGTTGATTAGGACTGACAGTCACGGTGCTTTGACACTTTTTGTCTTGTTTCTAAGCTATTAGACACAATTTAGAACAACTGCTATCCATGACATGATGATACGGCTGATAATTTCAATAGAGATGTTGTGCCTAATTGTAGATTTGTCATTGTAAAGTAGATACATGTACTATATAGTTGAAGTGTAAGACAACATTCATATTTTGCATCGAAAAGCATATTTTAAAACGTTATTGAAATGTTTTATTTTGATCGATATAATATTGAAGAATTTTGTATAATAGATACAACATATTTCACTGAACAATAAATATTACCTACATATATAAGCATCAAACAATATTTCTAAGATGGCATCTAATTTAAGATGGCAGTTGTCAAGAAGGCAATATTCTATTTTTTAATGTTACCTAAAGTTAAATTTGGATTGGTAAACTTTTGTTAATTATATTAAAAGAAAACTAGGGCTATAAAGAGTACCGGTATGTGTCGCTCGTCTGAATATATGCGCATCTTTAACTATGGCCACTCTCCAAAATTGCGACAAGAATTTAGTTTATGACTAAAATCTAATTTTTGTAGATCATATCTTGCTGGTCATTTTTACTGTTTACAGTATCTCTCTATCTACTATAGTTGTTACCCAAAGATATAAAAGAAATGAGTAAAATCGTAATTTAAGGGCAATAACTCCTATAAGGAGTCTACTCACAATTTGGGCAATGTTTTTTCAAGATAAAAGGCAAACATGCAAAATATGATAAACATATTCATTTAAGGGCAACAACTCATATAAGTTGACTTATATTCAAATCTTATCTTGCTGTTCATTTTTTTTAATTCAAATTTTGATCGACCTAATTACAGTTTTCAAGATAATAGACAAAAACCAACACTATCCGTAAAAATTGTCATTTAAGGGCAATAACTCCTATATAAAGAGTCGACTAATGATTTCGGCAATATTAACCTTTTTGTAGAGATTGTCTTGTGGCTCATTTTTATTTTCAAAGTTTCTCTCTATCAATTATAGTTTTCAAAATGATAGATAATAACGCAAACAATTGATAAACATTGTTATTACAGAGTAATAACTCCAATATTAGGCAATAACACCTAGTCTGACGATTTAGGACAGTAAGTAGATCTCTTCGTTCTGAACATTTCTATTCTTATATTATTTTTAATTATGGACAAACATTTACCCCTATGTTCTATTTTTAGCCATGTCGGCCATTTTGTTTGGCATGCGGGGTCATCGGATGTAATTTTAAAACTAAATACCACAATGATGATTGTGGCCTTGTTTGGTTCCAATTGGCTTAGTAGTTTCAGAGGATATGATATTTGTAAAAGTTAACGGACGACGACGACGACGGACGCCAATTGATGAGAATAGCTCACTTGACCCTTCGGCCATGTGAGCTAAAAGTGATTTTTCAAAAATTCAAAGAAAAGCACATAATACAACGTTTATTTACTTACCTGCACCTTAACACGTACCATAACTTTTTAACAGTACAGAAGCAGTTCTCAACCTCAAAGTATTTTGGTACACACAAGTAGTTTACTGAAGAAAAACTAACGACAAATAATATAATATAAGGGAACGACCATTTAACTTCGGGGGGGTGGGGGGGGGGGGGGGGGTGGGGGTGGGGGGGGGATGGTGTTTTCCGGAAAAAATATTCTGATCCCCAATTTGATGAAAAAAAATATTGTGATCAAGCAGATGACAAAAAAAAAATATTCTGTATCTAGATTTTCCCCATACCTTATAGTGTTAAATTTTGAAAAAAATAATTTGATTGATAGCGTCGAAAAAACCTTCTGACTCAGACAAAAAAAAACATACCCCTTCCCCTTTTGAAGCTAAATGGTTGCTCCTTAAGTATTTCTCTGGGAGTGGGAACACTGCCAAACTAATCTTTAAGGATGTAGTCAGGTGAACTGAAAAAAATCTAGGATATGAAATTGATACTATAAGTCAGAAGAGCATTAGTTAAGGAACAAAATAAGCTAAAAATATTGATAGGTTATGGAACTCCTTTTCGAGATACATGTATTTGATTTTTAAAAAAATGGCGGGAAAAGGCTGACTCGGACTATTACCTTATATTTAGCATTGACATTATTTGGGTCTCAAATCGTAAGAAAAGAAATCTTGAATCTGCTTAAATTTTGGTAATGACCTCTTTTAGCTATTGAAGTCTTTTATGAAAAGAAAAGTGGGTGATATGGGGCAAAATATGTAGGAAAATTCCCAAGGAGACCGAACATCTGACAAAAATTCCTAAACCTGACCTACCTACATCATTAAGGTATTTCCTAATTCCGCTTTTGGTTTCTGTCTGCTGTACTATTTTTACGGTGTATTTTTTTTTTAAATATAATTTTTCTGATTTATCTATTTTTCATCTTTTCTGTTCAATACAGATATTGCATTTGGATATTTTCTGGTGTCATATTGTATAACATCTCGCATCATGATCAAGCAAATGCACAAGCACTTGTTTCTATCCATGGGAAGATCCACTATCAACGTATACTCCTAAATATACGCAGGAACATATATATTGACAGACTGTTCCCAGATATACGTTGATAGTGGATCTTCCCATGGATAGAAACAAGTGCTTGTGCTCCTACATGTAAATATACGTTGATAGTGGATCTTCCCATGGATAGAAACAAGTGCCTGACTGTGCTCCTACATGTAAATATACGTTGATAGCGGATCTTCCCATGGATAGAAACAAGTGCCTATGATCAAATGTATGATCTGGCATAATCTTCGTTTGCTAACTTAAATTCTTAAAATGAAGAACTTACTTTTAAGGGTACATGACTGAAAGAATTTGTCTCTCCTACAAGCGTTTTGTTTCTTGTTTTGATTCTGTGCGATTGGAATCATAACTGTAACAAATTTATATATGCTTAGCATTTGTCATTTCGGGGCCTTTTATAGCTGACTATGCGGTATGGGCTTTGCTCATTGTTGAAGGCCATACAGTGACCTATAGTTGTTAATTTCTGTGTCATTTGGTCTCTTGTGGAGTGTTGTCTCATTGGCAACCATACCACATCTCCTTTTTTATATTAGCAGATTTTCTTTAAAAATTAGAATTTAGAGAACAGCTATTTCTCTTAAAACCATTGAATGCTGAGTATTTCATACAGTTGAAGAAGATAAGTTTCTTATAAGTGAGATTATGAGAGCTATCCCTCATTCATAAAATGTCTAATCAATATTACGTTTTCCAGTCTCGGTTGTACAACTTACCTGGGTAATTAAATCATTAATGAAGACTACTTCATGTTCTTAACGTTGCCATATATACCTGTTGGCCGTACCCCAATACCATTTGGTCATTCATCACTTTTTGACTAAGCTTTTTGTGTCATAGCAATTATCCAAGTAAAGAGACAGAGGATGATTGAAATACGGACACCAATTCTCTGTGACAAAGTACGGAATTATATAGTGATGGATACACCCTACCACAATCTATTCAAATTCACGAATGCTACTTTTCTAAAAGAAAACAAAAAAAAAAACCAAACAACATTTTGCATGTAAAACCTGTACAAAAAAAGTATAGATAAATGTGAATCTATCATTTCTTTTGACTCCGCTAAATATACTAGACAAAAGGGCGATAAAATACCCTTTAAGGCCTCATGCCTGATTACTCTCCAGTGGCTAATCCAGGGGCTGGGGGCGTAGAGGGCGTACGCTCCCCTACCCCCCCCCCCTCCCCCCCCCCCCAAAAAAAGAGCACAATTCATGTTTCTCACGATTTAAATAATCGTCCAAATGTGTTTTTTTTTATATATTCGCTTTTCTATAATTACGCTCCCCCTTTCAAAACTCTGGATCCGCCCCTGGTCTCGTTCTCAATCCCCGAGTATTGGATCCGCCCCCTGGTCTCGTTCTCAATCCCCCGAGTACTGGATCCGCCCCTGGTCTCGTTCTCAATCCCCGAGTACTGGAGCCGCCCCTGGTCTCGTTCTCAATCCCCAAGTATTTTCATATCGTTAGAAAGAAAATGTTTACAGCAGCAAAAATGTTATATTTAAACAAAATTTTGTTGACGGATTTCGGGGATACACAACATAAGTGGATAAATGCATATTTTTCGCCGCTTTTTACATACGATTCTATACAATAAAGACCTATTTCACAATTTCTTTAATCTTAGTCACAGACTTCGTTTTTTCGGTATACATCATTAAAAGTTGTGTTCTTAGTGAAATACAAAGCGTCGAAATAAGTCATCTTGTTGTTATCCATAAAACGTTGATTTTGACGTTTTTACATCGCGATGACCTTGAGGTCATTCCGATGTGTTGCTATCGCCTAGATTTCCATTATGTAAATTAGTTTTGGGTTTGTAACCGATCTATTAACATGATTAATATGCGCACATAAACGAGTGCAAAATAACATTCCTTACCGTTTGATATAAATACATCTCTTCAATGAATACCGATAAAAATATTTTTGTTTACAACATAAATTAATAATATGAAAATGTTTTGTAGTTAGATATATGTATATAAGTAAAAAATCATTGATAATATTAATGCACACGTACCGAAAAATTGTGTTAAAGCATGCGGAAGAATATCTCAAAGAACGTTTTGTGAAAATACCGTCAAGGACCGGTAACTCTGTAATTGTTTTTGCGGGAAAATATGAATGCCTACTCGTATCCAATCTTAGAAAAATCGAATTTTTACAGAAAAGTGTCCACCATGAATTTGCATTGCACTATTTTTAGAATAGTAGAATAGAATGATATACAAATGGATTCAAATCATATAAAGATGTAACTGTTATTTTATTATAATATAAACAACAAATCAGTGTATACTGATTTGTATCACTACAATATAATAGTTATTACGGATAAGTTGAATTTCCTGTCATTCATTCATCATCCACGCACGAACTTGTCTCAGAAAAAAATCTATCTCTGTACATTAACCTCAGTTTCAGGTAAAGAGATATGTTGTTATCTTCTGAGACAAGTGCTTTTGACCATCCTCAAGAGCTTGTGGTCATCCGATGTTCAGTACTTCAGTACTTTGATTCAATACTGCTAGGTAACGCATTGCTAAATACTCCAAAAACGAAGTCGGTGATCCTATGATTATTTTACATCTGATTCATTAAAAAAGAATTTCTGTAACAACTACATTACAAATTTTAAGAAAAGTGGATTCGTGTTTTGAGATTTTATGATTTTAAGACAAATTTTACAACGTTTATCGCCGATTGTATGGACTTTCTGTACAAATGCTCACCTATTTAGCAAGATTTCATTCAGTAATATTTCAGAACAAGAATGTGTCCATAGTACACGGATGCCCCACTCGCACTATCATTTTCTATGTTCAGTGGACCGTGAAATTGGGATTAAAACTCTAATTTGGCATTAAAATTAGAAAGATCATATTATAGGGAACATGTGTACTAAGTTTCAAGTTGATTGGACTTCAACTTCATCAAAAACTACCTTGACCAAAAACTTTAACCTGAAGCGGGACAGACGGACGCACAGACCAGAAAACATAATGCGCCTACTTCTATCGTAGGTGGGGTATAAAAAAGAATAAATGCAATATTTTTTCGATTTCAGTTATAGTTCAACCAGCCTAAATTGTATGCAAAATTTATCAAAATCTGTGACATAGCCCATTTACTGTCCCTGGACTTTTTGAAAATTATCCTTTGCTATGATGATTTCTGTTCATCATGTTGCTGCATTATGGTATATAGCTTCTGAGTGGCATTTGATTGGGTCGTGCTATAGCAATCACTTTAATATCTAAATTATGATTTAGTTTGCTCAAATATCATAACAATAGATTCACGTTTGCTTCATGTCCAGTGGATAGTATGACATGCACTTTCGGGATGTTAACATGACAATGAAATAAAAATATATATCCTGCTTTGTACTGAACACACAGGATAGGAAATTAAAGCGCTAGCTAACACGGTAACAGTCAGACAGGAAGACATACTTAGACATATTATTCTAACTTTATAATTGACCTGTCCATGCTGTTACTTTTGAGTTTCAAGTTCCACATGTAAGGAGGATTCGACACGTCCTGCACTCGTGGCATTGACTTGGAAAAGGTTTCTACCTGGTATTGATAGGCAACCGTCTTTATAAATTGACAAAAATCATAATCATAAGTGTGAAACATTGTGACAAAAAAGATTTCAAGAGAGCAAATCCTGCAATGTCTAGCATGCTTTATTTATCTTGATTGAATCTATGTTGAAAGTGTGATATATGAAAGGCAGGATTGAAATCCCTATGTTTCACATCTGCAAAGAAAGACAACTAGAGGATCTAAAGAGCCTGCGTCGCTCACCTTGGTCTATGTGCATATTTAACATAGGACACTCTCCAACATAGACGAGAATAGAATTCATGACAAAAATCTGTTTTGTTGATCTTGTATTATCTTCTTTAGTTTTTGCTCAAAACACAAAAGAAGGTAAAAAAAATCCTCATTTATGGGCAATCACTCCTATAAAGAGTTAGAGTCTACTAACTATATCGGCAAAATTTGACTTGATTGTAGATCTTGCCTAGCTGATCATTTTTGTCAATTAAAGTGTCTATTTATCTATTATAATTTTTATCATTTAAGGCAAAACGCAAAAAAAATGGTAAAAATCATCATTAAAGGGCAATAACTCCAATAAGGAGACGTTGGACGATTTCCCCTAAATTGTCTTAATTGTAGATCTTGTCTTGCTGATCATTTTTGCAATTTAAAGTTTCTCTCTATCATAGTTTTCAAGATAATAGGCAAAAATGAAAAAATGGTATAATTTGTCATTTAAGGGCAATAACTCCCTAAAAGAAGTTGTCTGACAGTTTTGACGTATATGGACAAATAGAAGAGCTCAACATTCTGAACATTTTTGCCCCGTCAGATTTGCTCTATTCATAAGGGTTTTCAAAATAATAGACAAAATTTGCACTTTACCCCTATGTTTTATTTTTAGCCATGTCGGCCATCTTGGTTGGCAGGCGGGGTCATCGGACATATTTTTAAAACTAGATACCCCAATGATGATTGTGGCCAAGTTTTGTTAAATTTGGCCCAGTAGTTTCAGAGGAGAAGATTTTTGTAAAAGTTAACGAGGATGACGGACAACAAGTGATGAGAAAAGCTCACTTAAAGCCAGGTGAGCTAAAAATCAACAAAATGTATAACATAAATGAAAATTAATGGAACGATAAACTAGGTCGACAAAATAAAGTTTTCACCGGGAAAAATATTGGTGTCCATATAATCTGTTATAAGGGCAAGTCAGATATTGTTAGGGCGATGGGTATTTGGATTAATCCCTACACGACGGATGTGTAGGACATGTTACCATACTATATCAAGATCAAGATAATCTCATCTTCCACCTATCATTTTTATTGCCCCTATGGTTCTTATGTCTCCTTTTTTACCCAACATCCGTTCTTTTCCAATGTTTTTAGTTGCTTTTATGGGGATATACAGTAAAATGGCCCTGTAGAAAAAGTTACATGAGGATATCCTAATGCAATACACATGTATATATTGCTTAAAATATGACTTTTAAAAGTCCCATAACTCTGGAACATGAGACCAAATTTTTTTTTAATCAAAAGGGTGCCTACATTCACCAATCCCAAGAACACCTTATACTCTTAAAGTATTTTAAAAGACACAATATTTATATAATTTTATTTAATTTAAGCATTATTCTTCATGAGAACACCAACAGTCATAAATATCACATAAAAATGTACCCACTATATACATATATTGTTATAGATTTCTTTGTGAACAGAAAATTGTGTAAAACTGGGCAACTTATTAAACAACAGATTATTAAGAGTACATAGAATAAAAAAACAATATTTTCTAAATAATTATAGTTAATTCTAGAAAAAAATTGTACCACTTTGCGTCTCTACAGCCCTTCTCACCAGAGGTTCCTGACTCATTATGAAAGTGAAAAATCTTTTCTAATTGTATTCAAAATCCGTCTTCGACTAATTGAAAAAAAATTGTTTAAGATGATTCAAGACTCACTAAAAACTCTTAAATGATTTAATCTTGCATAAAATACAATCTTCAGATGACAAGACATCTTATTTTTTACTACATCAGGAAAAAATCTAAGCCGAGCTCAGATCAGAATCACACAGGATTTTTTTCTGGTGAATAAAGGAAGCCATGGGATAACCAAATCAACTGAGTGAGTTTTCTTATCTAACAATACATTCTTAATTCAACAGGAATGTTCATTTTACAAATAATCAAAGAAGACACCAACAGCTTAATTTGAAAATTACTTAAAAAGTCTTAAAATACTAAATACCAGTTTTTCTTCAAAGAATTAGTCTTGTTTCTATTTTTTTTTGTATCTTTCACTAAAATCTACTTTCTATACATTAAATGGATATCTTAAAATGTGCTTATATATAATGAGTATTTACACCATTGCATATATCAGTGATCAAAGCCAACTGTTTTAGACGTTAAATAAATTGTTTAAATTTTTACACTTGTTTTTCCACTCAGAAATATTAATATTACTTTTGCACTTGTCATCCATCAATGCATAATATCAGCATAACATATATTATAAATTGAATACATTTTCAATATTTGCCACGTTTTCTTCTAACAAAGCATATCATACAGTATGCCTAATTGTGAAAATCAGATATAAAAATCTGATGAAAGGTTTACAATAGAACTTTTTCACACATGGTTTTCTATGACATTTGTTCAATGAAAGGCACAAGATCATATACATAAAGAGTTAATAAATACCACATTAAACCAATTATCCTAGAGTCAACTATCAACTGTTAGTAATTTACAACACACAAAGTGAAAAAGAATATATCTTGGTCTGGAATATTTTGTATACAACTACTAATGCATACTCAGCTAAAATAATCAACACTTGTAGATCTTTTAGACATCAAGGGAATCATAAAAATATTTATTTTTTTTAACTGTCAGACTATATTCCATATATAAAGCTATACACTGTTACAGAAACCAAATATCTAGTCCGTTACACTCTTTTTAAATCATCAGTGTTTTTATGAACAACTTTTACATTTTATTATATAATGGAACCAATTCATTAATTATAGTTTCCACTGCAAATTTATGCCAAAACAGGAATATTCAAGAAAAAAAAGGGACCTCTTGACAAATAAAAACAATGCTACAACAAATACACGCTAACAAAGAATTGACAACTATACTAACAAAATCATAAATATGTATGAAACCTCATATAAAAAAATAAACATATAAAAAGAGCAAGAAAATGATGTCAGATAACTATACCTTTATACAATATCACCCATAATTTTCATTTGTAACAGAATTGTATTTGTTTCCACCCCTATTACCCACAGACAAAAATGTCATGTGGTGTCCAACCCTCCCATTTATTTTTTCCAGGAATACCCCATACCAAATTCAGTACATGATTTCAATCTATCTTTTTTTTAGTATCTAACTGCAAATTAACTATTAACCAAATTAAAGAACCTTAGTGAGCGCGCTCACATACCCCACGTCCCCACATTGTCATTGGAGAAATAAAATAAGTGTAAGAAAAAAAAATTGTATCAGAAAAAAAAATTGAATCATAATTTCCTGTCAATATGCACATCTACATAGTATGTCCTTATAATCTACACAGTTTCATGAAATTCTGTTGTGTGGTTTGAGAGGAGTTGTGATGACAAAAGGTTGCAGTAATATATTGGGCAAATAAGTTCAAAGGGGCGTAACTCCTGGAAAAGAAATTGAATCGTAATTTCCTGTCGATATGCACATCTACGTAGTATGTCCTTATTATCTGAAAAGGTTTCATGTAGTTCTGTTGAGTGGTTTGATAGGAGTTGGGATGACAAAAGGTTGCAGCAGTATATTGGGCAAATAAGTTCAAAGGGGCGTAACTCCTGGAAAAAAAATTGAATCTTAATTTCCTGTCGATATGCACATCTACGTAGTATGTCCTTATTATCTGAAAAGATATCATGAAATTCTGTTGTGTGGTTTGAGAGGAGTTGCGATGACAAAAGGTTGCAGTAATATATTGGGCAAATAAGTTCAAAGGGGCGTAACTCCTGGAAAAAAAATTGAATCGTAATTTCCTGTCGATATGCACATCTACGTAGTATGTCCTTATTATCTGAAAAGGTTTCATGAAATTCTGTTGTGTGGTTTGAGAGGAGTTGCGATGACAAACTGTTGCAGTAGTACATTAAAGTAAATAAGTTCAAAGGGGCGTAACTCCCGGAAAAAAAATTGAATCGTAATTTCCTGTCGATATGCACATCTACGTAGTATGTCCTTATTATCTGAAAAGGTTTCATGAAATTCTGTTGTGTGGTTTGAGAGGAGTTGCGATGACAAACTGTTGCAGTAGTACATTAAAGTAAATAAGTTCAAAGGGGCGTAACTCCCGGAAAAAGAATTGAATAGTAATTTCCTGTCGATATGCACAACTACATAGTATGTCCTTATTATCTACAAAGGTTTCGTGAAATTCTGTTGTGTGGTTTGAGAGGAGTTGCGATGACAAGAAACAGGACTGACGGACGGGTCAAAAACATTATACCCTCCGCAACTCGTTGTGTGGGGTATAATAAGTTATTAAACTTGTAAATATTCATGATTTGATTTGAAACATGTGAAATGAATAGAATTCCATTAACTGACATAATTTTCTTGACTTATAACAATCAAAGAGTATGAAAACAGATTAACATTATCTACAGTTATAATGTGAGATTAGCTGACACTCATACTACACATTTATTTTTTAACATTTTGCTGTCTGTTAACTCATAACAAGAAAACTGGTTACAGCTTTTCTACATACAAAGGATAACAGTTATATAAATAGTTCATTTATGCTTAGTTCTTATTGTGTGAATAAAGATGGTAGACACAATGGTGGTACAACTGAAAACATAAAATTGTCTTACTTTATCTTTCAAAGTCTCAACCTTGGAAAAAAATGTAGACAATGATCCCCTATTAACCAACACAAAGCATAAATAAAACAAGTTTCCTACATGGCATGTTGTAGTAATTTTATCATTATTTTAAATAACAAATTCTGACCCATGATATCAAACAACTTAAAATAGGTTGTTTCCCCCTAACTTTACATTAATTTATCAGTACAAGTAGTCCCTCTGGTAAATATAATGTTCATTTTAATCCACTTTCACAACGCTGTATATCTTTGTTACAAACCAGAAACATGAGAAGAAACCAATGGAACCTACAAATATACAAAAATTAGTTATAAATTTATCGCAAAAAACAAACTCATCCTGGTGTCTTACGGTGAGCTTTTATTTACTGACTGATTGGTCATGTATGTTGTCGTTGCCTTGAAGGCAGATATGTCATACATATATTCAGGATGGACACTAAATAAACAAATTGGTAATTATGTAAAATATTGCATAGTGTGAAATTAGGATTTTCAATGGAAAACAAAGGTATGTTGAGTAAGAGCCATGCAATAGGTCACCAATGGTCACCTATGGACCCCTCAGTTATTGCAAGGTTTATTTTACAAGCAACAGACAGAGGTTTTTCAATAAAGTCTCTCTTCCTTTTGTTTTGTAACTGATTATTCCTTATTTATATATTAACCTAAAGATTATTTTCTTAGCCTTGTATTTTTTCATTGTGTTGAAAAATATTTCTTTTTTCATTTTTTCATAAAAGACTAACTTTATTACATTTGACTTACCTGTTAATAAGAAAAACAAAAAGACCATAATAAATGTATATCCCAAATACAGGAAATAACTTGCAGATCCATGGATTTCCAGCTTAGACACCAAATAATGTATACAATATATAAATAGATAGACTGCTGTAAATCCACTGGTCAGGAACGATCTCCACCACCAATGGTAGTCCTTAAAACAGAATATGTTTACAGTAAGTTCATATCACAAATTATTAAATCAATTTGATTAAATAAAAAAGTCCAGCTTCATTTTCCATGTCAGATAGAAAAGCCAAGCTTTTAAAAATGCTAACTTCTGCCAAAACAAATGGAAAAAAGTCCAGGAACAAAAAAAAAATTTTGGGATATTTCTGTTGTAGCTAGCATAGCAATCTATTTGCATGTCATATGATCTCGCTCCACCTTGTTTATATTGAATCAAAATCCAGTAAATTCAAATTCAATAAGACTTTTTCAATATTTAACATTTTATATCATCGATGTCTAAATCTTGTTTTGTATTCTTCAAAATAGTAAATCATTTAATTCTGACAAGTCACCACACTCAGTTATACCTAAAGCACTTCTGTTTTATTATCTTCCTGTCTAGGAGCTATCATTTAAGAGAAAATACCACCACTAATTAAATTGATATGGTTAAAAAAATTGTTAAAACTTAAGATTTTACAACAGCATTGCTTTATAATCCAAACTACAAAGAAAAGCGATTCTTGATTGTGATAATGTATTGGGTTTGAGCTTGTCATACTGAGTTTGTCTAGACTAATGATGATATAGTGTTTGTCACATTGATTTTGTCTGATTTGTGTTGGTGAGTTGCTGTCTCACTGACATATACTCTACATCTCCTTTCATTCATATACATTTCAAATCAAGATTTGGTCATAAATTTAAGGTCTAGTACCTACCTCTGCACAAAGATGGAAATAGCAGAGTAAAATGGTAGCTTCTGAACAGGTTATAATGAGTATAGTGAATACAAGGAATAAAAATCCAAACATGTAGTAAGTCTGATGGGACCTGTAAAAATATAAAAAGAATACAAATCTATGCACATACAATGTCTGAAGGGATCTGTAAAACATTTATAAAACAAGAGGCTGTCAGATTGACAGCAAACCAGATTTCCTGCATATAAATGATATTTGCAAATCTGGACCCCCAAACAGGATCTAGTAAAAAAAATAAATGAATTTTTGAAGTGTTCAGAAGTGGAAAGGCCAAAATCAATCCTAAGTATCACTTTCATTACTTAAATGTCTACAACTCAACAACGATAAAAGTTGAAATAGTGAAAATCGAACTTGACCTTCATTTAATCACAGGAAACAACATATCTAAATTTTCATGGACAACGAACATCACCAAATTAATAACCAATATTTTTTAATGAATACATTGAGGTTTTATTGTAGCTGTAAAAAGTATGTAGTGCGTTTTCATAATTCATAGTTCAAAACCTTCATCAAAAAATAAAAGTATTGTATTTGAAGAGTTGCCGCACTCAAATCCTGAATTTACAGCAACATTTTGGTGAGTGGATGTCTGAGAAGAAAAATGCATTACAAAATGTAAAATTCCTTATTTGGGTGGCTACCCTATTTTAAATGTCATCATGGGATGGAATGTATGTCCTAAAGTAATAGCCCTTCGTGGTAAAAAGCATATATCAAAGATACTGTGATTGTATATAATTTTTCTATGCATTAAATTTGGGTTAAGAAAATATTAGAAAAACAATAGAAACTTACCAAATGCTATTTAAAATGAAGAAAAGTTGAATGAAGATGCATCCAAATGGTAGTACACCTCCCATTATAATGCCTGGAATAGGTCTGGTGTACATAGATTGATCTGGGATTTGTCTTGGTATCTGGTTTGTTCTCACAGGATGTTCTATTGCCTGAATGAAAAGACATAAAATGAAACTGGCATTTACTGTAAAAAGTAATTATACAAGAAATTAGTTACACCAGTATTTCACGTCATTACAACTTGTGGGTTGGGATCTCAAAAAATCATTAACGATTTGTGAAAAACACATTGTGTTTTACAATTGTAAAATCAAGTGCTTTTTTTTTTAGAAAAATATGTTACAACAGCAACATGTGGAAGTTTAACAGCTACTGTGCACAAAGTATTGTGCTTTACACTGTTATCTGCTAGATACTGTAATATAATTATGGGGTTTGATTTTCAGCCTATTCAGTACCTTAAGGCATGTAACCAGGAGACAGTTAAAGAATTGTACTATTTTTTTAACCATATTTCTGGACAAAAATTGCTCAGAATTAATAAAACATTTTTTTTTGTATTTTAAAGCAATTTTAGGCTGCTTCAAACAGATGTAGGCATTTATATATCATAGGAATTTTAAAGAATCAAAATCTGCACCAAATTGTTAGTTTTAAACAATTCTTACAGATTTTTGTTTGTTTATAAAGTCTGTTCTCATATTGGTTAACAAAGATCATCGTTGTGAGTATAATTACTACCACTGGGTCAATATCACTGCTAGTGCACCGTTAGTCTGGGAGGGTTCAGCCCAGTATAATTACTACCACTGGTTCAATATCACTGCTAGTGCACAGTTAGTCTGGAAGGGTTTAGCCCAGTATAATTACTACCACTGGGTCAATATCACTGCTAGTGCACAGTTAATCCCAGAGGGTCCAGCCCAGTAGCTCAGGACTTCAGTACTGGCATGAAAATAGGGATATCATTTTAGTGAAATTTGATGTTATAAAACTTCAGAAATCATATAAATTTATAGAAAACATCCCTCTCATGCATACCTGATTCCTTTCCCAGGCTTGGCTATACCTTTGGTCTATATCAGCTCTTCGGGTTTTGGATTTTCAAACATTTTTTTTACCCTGGGCATCAATGAATATACATTAGTTGTCAAAAGTTACATCTGGTGCAGTAAATAAGTACTTTTTAACGTTATTCCAAAATGCCCTATTATTTTCTTGTTTGGTAAACTTTATACACTTACCCTCTTCTTGTATCCAAAGTATGCACCAATAAATACCAGAGGTACAGAAATACCAAACCATAAAGCTAACAAAGCTATCAGTGTACTAAATGGTATTGCTGCACTGCTTCCTTTGGCCCAGAGTACCAAGTTCAACAAGAAAAACACCCCAAACACAATACTAAAATAATAAAATCAAATAATTTATCATTAAAATAACAAGAAGTAACAAGATGTGATTTATTTTAACACTAATGGATTTTGGAATGACATTTTTCATTGGTTTCTAGGCATGAAATATACTATTAAATGAAAACTAATTATATATATTTTGAAGAGGTTTATCTACAATTAACCATATTCAGTTTCTCTCAACAGCTTGAATCAATCATTTGGCTTCCACCTTTATTCAAACTTGATTTAAAAAAAAGAATATTTACGATATCAACATGTCTATATGTGAAGACTGTATGTGAATTGTGGATGAATTTAAAAATTTACATAAAAATATTTATGAAGATTGAAGAGAGGTGTTAATGTTTTGAATAACAAGGATCAAAAGTATGAATCTTCAAAAATTTGTAAGGGTTCCGTGGAACCCAGTGTCTTGCCTACTTTGCTGTTAATCCCAGGCTCAACAAAAATGAGGAAAAAATTAATAAAAATATTCCTCTATATACTATCTTTTGATTGTAAGTAGCTTCTGTCCAAGTTTGGTAAAAATCCAGGATAGTTTATGAATCTAATAAATGTTTTAAAAACTTAAACTGCAGATCTAGACTGTATGTAATGTTAACTGGAAGAAAAACTAAGTCCATTTATAAGTAAAATACGGAAAAAATGGAACAAAATTTTAACAAAATTTCCTTCTAGATACTAGCTTTTAATCATAAACAAGCTTCTATCCAAGTTTGGTACAAATCCAGGATAGTTTAAGAAAGTTATTAAAATCTTAAAAACTTTAACCACAGAGTGAATGTAATGTTAAATGGCAAAAAAACTAAGCCCATTTATAAGTAAAATACGGAAAAAATGGAATTTTTTTTTTACAAAATTTACTTCTGGATACTATCTTATGATCATAAACAAGCTTCTTTCCAAGTTTGGTAGAAATCCAGGATAGTTTAAGAAAGTTAATAAAATTTCAAAAACTTTAACCACAGAGTTAATGCAATGTTTCCTGGCAGAAAAACTAAGTCCATTTATAAGTAAAATACGGAAAAAATAGAATTTTTTTTTTACAAAATTTACTTTTGAATATTATCTTATGATCATAAACAAGTTTCTTTCTAAGTTTAGTAGAAATCAAGGATAGTTTAAGAAAGTTATTAAAATTTCAAAAACTTTAACCACAGAGTGAATATTTGTGGACGCCGCCGCCAACAACAACGACGACGGAATGTAGGATCGCTATGTCTCGCTTTTTCGACAAAAGTCGAAGGCTCGACAAAAATAGAATATTGCTTGTAGAGATTCTAGCATACCAAATTTTGGGATAAAAAATAAAATTCCTTTCATTCTTTGATTTTATATTAACAACTATATACATACCCAGAACATGAGAATGCTGTCAGTATAACATTAGATTTCCATTTTTCACCTCCAAACACTGCAATGAACAAAAGTTTAGTTTTTTTAGAAATATAATTTTCTACTCAAATGATAATGCATGGAAATCATTTTTTGCAAACATCAAGCTTTTCTTTATTGCTTTGTGATGTTTATGATTTTCTAACTAACCAAAATTTGACAATGTGTACTCATTAATAATATCTCACCCACCCATCTCAATATTGTTCACTCTATGTGGATAGACAGACCAAGGTAAACCAGTTACTTACTCTTATATAGTCTAGCTGAGACATATCCAGCAGGGGTTCCAAGACATACATACAATACCTACAAAATAGCATTAATAATTAGAAACCCTGACTTATTTGATAAGTGAATCAAGACTTCTTTTTAATAAATTTGTGATTTATTCCTATTCAAAATTTTTTTGAGAATGTCAACCTTATTTAGTTTATAATCTCAATGTCAAATTATTGAGTTTTAAAGTAAAAAAAAAGTATGATTTTTCATTAAGATATTTGGTATTTTGTTATTTACAGAAAGTAGGCTTTAAATAATTGATATCATTACACATGTTACAATAGTCATTAGATCATAGAAGTGTATAATGTACATTTGATAGCCATCATTAAATTATATTGGTTAACAAAAATGCAACTAAGATACAGGGACTTGACAATGTAAACATGTTCTTTCCATAGAGAGTCCTTTAAAAAAATCGAATATCATAAATAATGTACGATATCTTTTAAGACTTTTCATTGATATTTTAATGATGCAGTCCTGCATGTTAATTTCTGGATAAAATTGTCAACTTATATTCCAAAAGAGGACCAAAGATGTGAAAATTGGACATTTAAGATCTAACATGTGATTTTTGACATATTTGTAACAAATTACACCATCCTATTCATTTAGGTAAATTGCATTGAAAGGAATTACAGTAATGATTCTGGCAGGAATTATGGCCTTCAGAATTTGTTTTCCTTAAAACTATACCCTTCAATTTAAATCAAGTTCAATCTACTTCGGTTTTGTCATATCAGAGGAAGGTAAGGTAAACATTTACATAGAAATATACATTTAGTCGTAAAACCCAGATGACTTACCAATGAACAAGTCATCAATGCTCCTCTATTGGCTGGAGAAAGAAATCCAAGACAGGCAAATACTGTAATAAAATAATAGAAGATAAAGTTAATATCTTTTGTTTAGCATTTCTTTTGATTCTGTATTTGATAAAATAATTTTCATTTTCCAAAAACTGACAAAACAAGAATGCATGAAAGGTTACAAACACTTGTAATTGAAAGTATCAAATTGTTTCAGTAGTCACCGCCATTTTTGTTAGCAATTATAATCAATTGCATGTACTATAATCCAAAGGGTCCTCCCGATTACAGTTTCAAAGCCCTGAGGGATATCCGGCTATTCACTTGTACAGGTAGATCGAATCACCTGACAGGAGAACACTTGATCAAGATAGACGATTAATTGCATTATTTAATTACATTTCAGGAAATGCTAGTAAAAAATTTAGATTGAAAAATAAATTTTAAATCTAGTTACGAAGTCGAACACGTGCTTTTATATTGACTTACGCAATCAGCATCCCCCTTTCAAAATGAGTACAAAATAAGACGTAAAACAGAACATAATATCATGCCAAATAACATGAGTACAATAATTATAGATAATATAGAATAACTTTACAAGTTTAAAAGTAAATACATGAATATTAACTGCAACTTGATAATCTGAAGAAATTTCGTATGGTAATTCTGAGTTCATTTCGTAGTTTACAATAAAATTAAAACACCCGGTTTTACACTCAGAATCGAAAGATGCATGTTGTATAGTATATTACTATGAAACTTGCAATTTAAAGTCATTTAAACCATTTAAGTTGTAAACGTTTGCCCTCCAAATCTTTCTTCCAACGTTTTACAAAACAGGTAAAAAACTTCTTGTGGTTGATGCTGCAAATCGTTGATACCGGTTCATGACATCTGAATTTGACAGTGAAAAAATACCCCCCCCCCCCCCCTTGATTTTTAAGTCCTAAACAATTATCAAAATAGCAAGAAAACATCTTGGGAACCTCAAGGACAGCTTGTGGTCATTCTTGACTAAGGGGGAGCCATGTAGCCTCGACATTAAAATTGTTACAAACGACAATTTATGAAAATATTGGTTATTCTATAATGAAATAAATATAATAAGCAATACATCAATCTGTTCACCATTCCGTACATAAAAATTGAGGAATGAAATAATTTCGATCATGACTCGTCGTAGACAGGGGGTTTTGTCATGGTGAAAGTTCCTCCATCGTTAAAGTTTCATCCATGGAGATCCCTGCAAAGTATCAGCAAACAGTAAGTCCGATAGATCAGCAAAGTGCTTACACGTAACAACTTATCACGATCAAACTATTGACTATAGTCTTTCTGTTCAGTAGTACCTGAGAAAAGTGGGACTGAAATAGTTGTTGGACCATTGGCAGGACAGACAAGGTGAATGCACTTTCAAACTTTACATAACAACCAGGCTTATTAAGCTAATGCCAATAAACTATCAATAAAACTGTGCACTGTTGTTTATAAGACTGGTGAAGAACTTTTAAGACATGCCAGATATTTACTTCACATTTCTTACAATCAATGCTGTGATTAGTTGTATTACCTAAAGTAATCAAAGTCATGCAGAATATCTGTACTCCATTTCCATTTAGGACTGCAAGCATCATACCCTTCCTTGGTGGACGGAACACATCTCCATGGACTAACTTCCAACCAAACTCTTCTTGGGCGTCCTCCTAAATTTGAAAAAAAAACAATAATTTATAAAATTACTAAATTAGTGAAACTCCAGTGCATTACATCCAGAAGTTCTAAGGTAAATATTGATATTGAACCACAGAACTTAGCAGCTTTTTGTCTGTCAATGCCTGCAAGTTGATCCATTATTTTCCCTAACCTTAATGTTAATTAAATGGATGCCTCTTTTTATGATCTAGCCTTGTACCCAAAATGCAGAAAAAATATTTTGTCTCAAATAAGCTGTTAGTCTAACAAATCAATATGTAGTTACCTAGGATATACTAATGATAGGACTTATTTAAAAATTCAGAGAGCAGAATATGAGATGTCATAAAACAATCAAAGGGAGGCAAGTCATGAATTTATTGTAAAACCACACTGGCTGGAAATTTAAAACATGATAGTCCTTTTACATTAGTTCTATTTTTTATAAATTGTTTTCGTTTATTCAAAAAAGTTTTTATCATATAAAGAGGCATGAAATATATGTTAGATTTTACTTATCAACAAAACTGTTTTGTTTCATATAATTCCTAACTAATGAATGATTAAACTAGATATGGACAATGCCCCCCCCCCTTTTCTGCTCTGCCATATGCATGAGTATAGTTCCACATATTTTAGATTTGACAAACAGTGATGTTGGCATACGACGTGAAATTGTTACGCTGTCTGTAAGACACAAATGATGCCACCGCCTGACCAAAAAAGTACAACTACCTGTCATTATCAGAATATTTAAAAAATAAAATGCTTCGCTGGGGCGCAGCTTGATACGACCGCAGAGGTCGAACCCTGAACAGTTGGGGCAAGTATGGACACAACATTCAAGCTTGATACAGCTCTGAATTTGGATTGTTATTAAATATTTGACACAGCATAGGTTTCTGACACAGAAAGAATGTGGTCTAAGAACTTGAATTTTTTTAATTTACCTATTATGGTCCAATGTCCAAAATCAAAATACATGGTTAGATTCAGCATATCAAAGAACCCCATATATTCAATTTTTGATAAAATCAAACAAAGTTTAATTTTGGACCCCAACTTGGACAAACTTGAAAACTGGGCCCATAATCAAAAATCTAAACACATGTTTAGATTCAGCATATCAAAGAACCCCAAGAATTCAATTTTTGCTAAAATCAAACTAAGTTTAATTTTGGACCCTTTGGACCTTAATGTAGACCAATTTAAAAAACGGGACTTAAAATTAAAAATCTAAATACACGGTTAGATTTGGAATATCAAAGAACCCCAATAATTCAATTTTTGATGAAATCAAACAAAGTTTAATTTTGGACCCTTTTGACCTCAATATGAACCAATTTGATAGCGGGGCCCACAAATAAAAAATCTAAATTCATGGTTAGATTCAGCATATCAAAGAACCCCATATATTCAATTTTTGTTGAAATCAAAAAAAGTTTAATTTTGGACCCCAACTTGGACCAACTTGAAAACTGGGCCCATAATCAAAAATCTAAACACATGTCTAGATTCAGCATATCAAAGAACCCCAAGAATTCAATTTTTGTTAAAATCAAACTAAGTTTAATTTGGACCCTTTGGACCTCAATGAAGACCAATTTAAAAAACGGGACCCAAATTAAAAATCTAAAAACACGGTTAGATTTGGCATATCAAAGAACCCCAATAATTCAATTTTCGATGAAATCAAACAAAGTTTAATTTTGGACCCTTTTGACCTCAATATGAACCAATTTGATAGCGGGGCCTACAAATAAAAAATCTAAATACATGGTTAGATTCAGCATATCAAAGAACCTCATATATTCAATTTTTGTTGAAATTAAACAAAGTTTAATTTTGGACCCCAATTTGGACCAACTTGAAAACTGGGCCCATAATCAAAAATCTAAATACATGTTTAGATTCAGCATATCAAAGAACCCCATATATTCAATTTTTGTTGAAATCAAACAAAGTTTAAATACTGGACCCTAACTTGGACCAACTTGAAAACTGGGCCCATAATCAAAAATATAAACACATGTTTAGATTCAGCAAATCAAAGAACCCCAAGAATTCAATTTTTGTCAAAATCAAACTAAGTTTAATTTTGGACCCTTTTGACCTCAATGTAGACCAATTTAAAAAACAGGACCCAAAATTAAAAACCTAAATACACGGTTAGATTTGGAATATCAAAGAACCCCAATAATTCAATTTTAGATGAAATCAAACAAAGTTTAATTTTGGACCCTTTTGACCTCAATATGAACCAATTAGATAACGGGGTCCACAAATAAAAAATCTAAATACATGGTTAGATTCAGCATATCAAAGAACCCCATATATTCAATTTTTGTTGAAATCAAACAAAGTTTAATTTTGGACCCCAATTTGGACCAACTTGAAAACTGGGCCAAAAATCAAAAATCTAAATACATGTTTAGATTCAGCATATCAAAGAACCTCATATATTCAATTTTTGCTAAAATCAAACAAAGTTTAATTTTGGATCCTTTGGACATTAATGTAGACCAATTTAAAAACTGGACCCAAAATTAAAAATCTCAATACACTGTTAGATTCGGCATAACAAATAAATAAATGTGATCAAAGATTTTACAAATCTAATGCGCCATACTGTGCAATTAAAGATTACTTCTTGAAATTTTTCAATATTTGAAATTTGAAAAAAAAATAATATTTGAAGAATAATTCTTTTTAATTTCTGAAATCTGAAAAGAGAAAAAATTGGCCCCCCACAATTTCTTTTTATCCCCCCCCCTTTTTCCCCCAAAAAAATTCTTTCCCTCAAGATATGGTCATAATCTCAATTCAAATTTCCAATGGAGTTGGCAACCATAATTACCCATTTAAATTTACCATAGTGCTAACTTAATCTATTTTATAATAGAATTAATAAAAATATAGTGTCAAATCTTTCATATGGATTTTTTTGTAAAAAAAAAAGATGAAAACATTTGCAGATATTTTTACTGGTCTTCCTTTATAAATATGCATTTCTTTAAACATAATTTAAAAGCAGTGTAAGGGAAGTAACCAAAACGTTGTATTTGGATTACCTCCCTTACACTGTTTTAGATTATCTTTATTGTTCATTTACTATTACTTTATACATAATTTAAAAGCAGTGTAAGGGAGATAATTTCAATGATGTATTTGATTTATCTCCCTTACACTGCTTTAAATTATGTTTTGTACTAAAGTATTTGTCCATTAACCAGGACAACCTTGTTTTTCCCCCTTTTTTGCCCCTAATTCCTAAACGGTTTGAGCCATAACCCCCCAAAGCAAATCCTAACCATCCCTTTGTGGTATGGAAACTTGTAGTATAATTTCAGAGAGATCCATACACCGTTCCACAGTTATTGTCTGGAAACTAGAAAATGCTCATTTTTGGCCCCTTTTTGGCCCCCAATTCCTTAACTGTTGGTACCATAACCCCCAAAATCAATCCCAACCTTCCTTTTGTGGTATTTAACCTTATGGTCAAATTTCAAAAAGATCCATTCACTTAAACTAAAGTTAGAGTGCGAAAACCAATATGTATTCGGACGACGACGCCGGACGACGACGACGACGACGCCAACGTCATACCAATATATGACCACAAAATTTTTTTGCGGTCGTATAAAAATCAAAATCCTGTGGCCATGCACACCTCCATTATGTGTTTGAACATCCTACAAAATATTAAAGCTGTATCTCCAAAACTGTAGGAGGGGATAGCTGGACAAACAATGATCTCTTTATGCAGCTTGTACCAAAAAGTCCTGTCATTTTCAGAATATTTAAAAAAAAAATCAAAATCCTGTGGCCATGCACACCTTCATTATGTGTATGAACTTCCTACAAAATATTAAAGCTGTACCTCCAAAACTGTAGGAGGAGATAACCGGACAAACAATGTATCCTAATCCAGCAGACGGATGAACAGAGGTAAATTAAAATGCCCCTAGACATTTTGTCGCAGGGGCATAAAAACAAAGAGAACTGAAAAGAGGATTATCTTCATGTAAATCCTTCACTACAGTATACTCTGAATAATTAAGGAGACTGTTCTACTCGATAGAGTTTATTGGTCTTCAATGTAACATGATTCATTGCAACATCAATCAGAATTATACATTCATATTGTTTGAAGTATCTTTGCACCAAGGTACAAGATCAACTAGTATCTATGTACCCAACTTGGGGAGATAATGTTAACAATGAAATTGTATGCACACTAATGATATGAATGTCTGGCAATGAATTTCAGAAAATTTGTTGAGGTGAGCTGAACAGTATGCTAGATTTATATTAATTACATCTATACTTGTTAGAAATACATACCGAGTTATCCATCTGGTTATATCTAGCAATATCTTTGTGAAGTGTTCTCAACATAATCATGGCTACCATACCAGACAGGAACAACACTATCACCAAGGAATTCATTATACTGAAGCAAAAATCAAGTTATCATAAAGTAAATTAAGAAATACACATTATTTTTTTTACTGTTCATAGCATCTCTTTCATGTACTATATTGGACATTTTCAAATATAAATACTCTTATAATTTAATAAAATGCTCCGCTGGGCGCAGCTTGATACGACCGCAGAGGTTGAACCCCGAACAGTTGGGGCAAGTATGGACACAACATTCAAGCTTGATACAGCACTGAATTTGGATTGTGATTAAATATTTGACACAGCATAGGTTTCTGACACAGAATGAATGTGGTCTAAGAACTTAAATTTTTTTAATTTACCTATTCAAACCATATCATTATTATTTGCTTTTATATATTAATTAGAAATAACCAATTTAAAATGGAAAATTTTAAAGAAAAAAAAAGGAAAAAAAAATCCCTCCCCCAAATTTTTTGAACCCCCTTATGATTCATCACCCCCAAATTCAATCCCAGCCTTCCCTTTGTGGTATGGTACCTTGCAGTACAATTTCAGACAGATCCATACACTTGAACACAAGTTATTGTCTGGAAACTAGAAAAATGCTTGTTTTAAGGCCCCTTTTTGGCCCCAAATTCCTACACGTTTAGGGCAATTACCCCCAAACTCAATTCCAGCTTTCCCTTTGTGATATGGAACCTTGTAGTACAATTTCAGAAAGATCCATACACTTACACACAAGTTATTGTCCTGAAACTAGAAAAATGCTTGTTTTTTGCCCCTTTTTGGCCCCTAATTCCTAAAATTTTGAGGCAATTACCCCCAAAATCAATCCCAGCCTTCCCTTTGTGGTATGGAACCTTGCAGTACAATTTCAGAGAGATCCATACACTTGAACACAAGTTATTGTCTGGAAACTAGAAAAATGCTTATTTTTGGTCCCTTATTCCTAAACGTTTTGGGCAATTACCTCCAAACTCAATTACAGCTTTCCCTTTGTGATATGGAACCTTGTAGTACAATTTCAGAAAGATCCATACACTTACACACAAGTTATTGTCATAAAACTAGAAAAATGCTTGTTTTTTGCCCCTTTTTTTGCCCCTAATTTGTAAAATTTTGAGGCAATTACCCCCAAAATCAATCCCAGCATTCCCTTTGTGATATGGAACCTTGTGGTACAATGTCAAAGAGATCCATACACTAACACACAAGTTATGTCTGGAAGTTACAAAAATGCTTATTTTTGGCTCCCAATTCCTTAACTGTAGGTACCATAACCCCCAAAATCAATCCCAACCTTCCTTTTGTGGTATTGAACCTTATTGTGAAATTTCATAGAGATCCATTCACTTAAACTAAAGTTAGAGTGCGAAAAACCAATGGGTCTTCGGACGACGACGCTAACGTCATACCAATATACGATTGCAAAATTTGTTTGCGGTCGTATAAAAATACATCTGCTTAATTGAATTTTAGTTAAAAATTGAATGAATGAACTTCACATCCAAAATTGAATGAATTAGTGTCAATGTACATAACAACAGCGTCTTTCAACAGGAGATGTTTACATGCAAGAGATGCTATGCAATGTATACATTCCCACAACAAAAAAAAGACACTAAGTACAGATCTGAAAGTACTCACAGTTACTGACAGCTATTTAAAGTCAATAACAACTAAAAAAAAAATCATGTAACAAGGACTAAAGAGTACATGATTTTTTTTTAGTTGTTATTGACTTTGAACTAGCTGTCAGTAACTGTGAGTACTCTCAGATCTGTACTTAAGTGTCTTTTTTTGTTTTGGGAATGTATAAATACCCTGCCTTGCCCGGTCTGTATTTTTGTTACTTGTTTTTCTGCTTTGAATCGATCTGATGAGTTAAGCCCTTTTCAAATGATTTTTATACGACCGCAAAAAAATTTTTGTGGTCGTATATTGGTATGACGTTGGCGTCATCGTCTTCCGAAGACGCATTAGTTTTCGCACTCTAACTTTAGTTTAAGTGAATAGATCTCTATGAAATTTTACCATAAGGTTCATTACCACAAAAGGAAGGTGGGGATTGATTTTGGGGGTTATGGTACCAACAGTTAAGGAATTAGGGGCAAAAAATAAGCATTTTCTAGTTTCCAGACAATAACTGTGGAACGGTGTATGGATCTCTCTGAAATTATACTACAAGTTTCCATACCACAAAGGGATGGTTAGGATTTGCTTTGGGGGGTTATTGCTCATACCGTTTAAGAATTAGGGGGCAAAAAAGGGGGAAAAACAAGGTTGTCCTCATTAATGGACAAATACTTTAGTACAAAACATAATTTAAAGCAGTGTAAGGGAGATAAATCAAATACATCATTGAAATTATCTCCCTTACACTGCTTTTAAATTATGTATAAAGTAATGGTTAATGAACAATTAAGATAATTTAAAACAGTGTAAGGGAGGTAATCCAAATACAACGTTTTGGTTATTCCCTTACACTGCTTTTAAATTATGTTTAAAGAAATGCATATTTATAAAGGAAGACCAGTATGGCGCATTAGATTTGTAAAATCTTTGACCACATTTACTTATTTGTTATGCCGAATCTAACCGTGTATTTAGATTTTTAATTTTGGGTCCAGTTTTCAAATTGGTCTCCATTAAGGTCCAAAGGGTCCAAAATTAAACTTTGTTTGATTTTAACAAAAACTGAATATATGGGGTTCTTTGATATGCTGAATCTAAACATGTATTTAGATTTTTGATTTTTGGCCCAGTTTTGAAGTTGGTCCAAATTGGGGTCCAAAATTAAACTTTGTTTGATTTCAACAAAAATTGAACATATGGGGTTCTTTGATATGCTGAATCTAACCATGTATTTAGATTTTTCATTTGTGGACCCTGCTATCAAATTGGTTCATATTGAGGTCAAAAGGGTCCAAAATTAAAACTTTGTTTGATTTCATCAAAAATTGAATTATTGGGGTTCTTTGATATGCCAAATCTAACCGTGTATTTAGATTTTTAATTGTGGGTCCCGTTTTTTAAATTGGTCTACATTAAGGTCCAAAGGGTCCAAAATTAAACTTAGTTTGATTTTAACAAAAATTGAATTCTTGGGGTTCTTTGATATGCTGGATCTAAACATGTGTTTAGATTTTTGATTATGGGCCCAGTTTTCAAGTTGGGGTCCAAAATTAAACTTTGTTTGATTTCAACAAAAATTGAATATATGGGGTTTTTTGATATGCTGATTCTAAACATGTATTTAGATTTTAGATTTTTGGCCCAGTTTTCAAGTTGGTCCAAATTGGGGTCCAAAATTAAACTTTGTTTGATTTCAACAAAAATTGAATATATGGGGTTCTTTGATATGCTGAATCTTACCATGTATTTAGATTTTTTATTTGTGGGCCTGCTATCAAATTGGTTCATATTGAGGTCAAAAGGGTCCAAAATTAAACTTTGTTTGATTTCATCAAAAATTTAATTATTGGGGTTCTTTGATATGCCAAATCTAACCGTGTATTTAGATTTTTAATTTTGGGTTCCGTTTTTTAAATTGGTCTACATTAAGGTCCAAAGGGTCCAAAATTAAACTTAGTTTGATTTTAACAAAAATTGAATTTTTGGGGTACTTTGATATGCTGAATCTAAACATGTGTTTAGATTTTTGATTATGGGCCCAGTTTTCAAGTTGGTCCAAGTTGGGGTCCAAAATTAAACTTTGTTTGATTTCAATAAAAATTGAATATATGGGGTTCTATGAAATGCTGAATCTAAACATGTATTTAGATTTTAGATTTTTGGCCCAGTTTTCAAGTTGGTCCAAATTGGGGTCCAAAATTAAACTTTGTTTGATTTCAACAAAAATGAATATATGGGGTTCTTTGATATGCTGAATCTTACCATGAATTTAGATTTTTTATTTGTGGGTCCGCTATCAAATTGGTTCATATTGAGGTCAAAAGGGTCCAAAATTAATCTTTGTTTGATTTCATCAAAAATTGAATTATTGGGGTTCTTTGATATGCCAAATCTAACCGTGTATTTAGATTTTTAATTTTGGGTCCCGTTTTTTAAATTGGTCTACATTAAGGTCCAAAGGGTCCAAAATTAAACTTAGTTCGATTTTAACAAAAATTGAATTTTTGGGGTTCTTTGATATGCTGAATCTAAACATGTGTTTAGATTTTTGATTATGGGCCCAGTTTTCAAGTTGGTCCAAGTTGGGGTCCAAAATTAAACTTTGTTTGATTTCAATAAAAATTGAATATATGGGGTTCTATGAAATGCTGAATCTAAACATGTATTTAGATTTTAGATTTTTGGCCCAGTTTTCAAGTTGGTCCAAATTGGGGTCCAAAATTAAACTTTGTTTGATTTCAACAAAAATTGAATATATGGGATTCTTTGATATGCTGAATCTTACCATGTATTTAGATTTTTTATTTGTGGGTCCGCTATCAAATTGGTTCATATTGAGGTCAAAAGGGTCCAAAATTAATCTTTGTTTGATTTCATCAAAAATTGAATTATTGGGGTTCTTTGATATGCCAAATCTAACCGTGTTTTTAGATTTTTAATTTTGGGTCCGGTTTTTTAAATTGGTCTACATTAAGGTCCAAAGGGTCCAAAATTAAACTTAGTTTGATTTTAACAAAAATTGAATTCTTGGGGTACTTTGATATGCTGAATCAAAACATGTGTTTAGATTTTTGATTCTGGGACCAGTTTTCAAGTTTGTCCAAGTTGGGGTCCAAAATTAAACTTTGTTTCATTTCAACAAAAATTGAATATATGGGGTTCTTTGATATGCTGAATCTAACCATGTATTTTGATTTTGGACATTGGACCATAATAGGTAAATTAAAAAAATTGAAGTTCTTAGACCACATTCTTTCTGTGTCAGAAACCTATGCTGTGTCAAATATTTAATCACAATCCAAATTCAGAGCTGTATCAAGCTTGAATGTTGTGTCCATACTTGCCCCAACTATTCAGGGTTCGACCTCTGCGGTCGTATCAAGCTTTGACCAGCGAAGCATTTTATTATAGTTAGTTCATATGTTGTGCTGTTACATCAATGTCCCAGGTTAAGGGAGGGATGGGCAACCGCAAAAATGTTTAACCCGCCACATTCTGTATGTGCCTGTAATTCATTGTTTGTCGATTGTTGCCGTGTATCATATTTGTTTTTCATTCATTGTTTTGTACATAAATCAGGCCGTTTAGTTTTCTCTTTTGAATTGTTTTACATATGTCATTTCGGGGTCTTTTATAGCTGACTATGCAGTATGGATTTTGCTCATTGTTGAAGGCTGTACAGTGACCTATAGTTGTTAACTCCTATGTCATTTGGTCTCTGGTGGAGAGTTGCCTCATTGGCAATCATACCACATCTTATTTCTATATCTAACCAAACACAATAAATACTCTTATAATTCACTTTTAAAAGTTTTTCAGCCTGACAATCCAAAATTTTAAGTTTGAACCTTGTGCGAGTTTGTTAGATTTGCAACTTTAAAGAGTCTGTGACATTAACTTCATAATAAACAAAACATTTAGCTCTTTTTATGAATTAGTGAATCTTTCATTTTTCTACTTGTACAGCCTTTGACTTTAGCAGCTATTTAGGCCTTAGTATTTTAATAGTAAAGAATGATTTTCCTTCCAAAATTTAGTTCCTCTGGCACAATAAGATACCACTTGACCAACTGAGCTAAATGAGAACTCCAATAGAGAAGCTAATGAAGGACAGTTTTATATCTACTTTGTCAGGTATACTTTGCTACAGCATAAATTAGCAAGTTTCCTAAGAATATATTCTAGAAATTATCATTTACTCACCTAAACCATTGAATGTTTGTGTTTGGCATTGATTTCAAAATATAATCCCATCTAGATGACCATTTGATGTTTTCGTTTGTCTACAATAAACCCCAAAAAAATTATGTTTCGTTCTAGATCAATATGCTTTGCCAGATTATTAGCACAATAGCTCAGAAGTTAACAGTTCAGAGGAAGACAAGTCCCCCAACTTTATATCATTTTTTTATGAACAAGTACAACTGCTAAATGTTAGATGCATTGTGGATATCCATTAAATACTGTTCTTGAGGGCCTTTGAGAGTACTTTCCTCTACAACCCCAACCTACATATTTTCATAATTTATTCCAAGTTGATAAAAAAGAACTATCATGATTTGTTTAATCACCCATAAATTAACTTTCTTTCTCAGCCATAAATTAACTTTCTTTCTGAAATGTTGAATTTTTCAATAAATCCCTGCTGACTACAGATTCATTTTTGTATTTACACAATAAAAAGGTGGCTTTTGATACCAGAGCTGCTGCTGTTATACAAAAAGAAATAAATGGTTAAATGTGTCTCAGCCTTGCATAATATTGTTGTAAGCAGTATAAAATGACATATAAAAAATAGTAGTATTACCTCCCATGTGACACTGTAAGTATAGTTGAATGCTATGTCAGTGGTATCAGCACCAATACCCAGAGCAGGTAATCCTGGACTACAATCACCTGGCCTACTGTGTTTTATACTGAAATTACAAAGATAATGTTAAGAGTCATAACAGTTAGCACTATTGCCGTGAAATAGTCTTTTTATGATGATGCAGCGTAAAGCAATCACCAATCAATCAATCAATTAGCATTAACTTTCTAATCCCTTTTTTAACTAGAGGTACTGCGAACATTATAACTAGAGGTACTTCGAGCAAAGCTCACTTAAATGAAACTCCCTGCCACACAAAAAGGAATGGCAAAGTCAATGATTTGCACAGGAAAACTCTAAATATAATTCAGATAAAAAACAAAATAGGAATAAATTGCTTTGCTGAGCGAAGCTGGATAGGACTGCAGAGGTCCAACCCTGAACAGTTGGGGCAAAAATGGACACAATATTCACGCTTGATACAGGTCTGAATTTGGATTGTAATTAAACATTTGACACATAATAGGTTTCTGACACAGAATAACTGTAGTCAAAGAACTTATAATTGGTTATATGATTTGAATTTATATTCAAGTTTTTGCTTTAAAGCAATGCACTATGCTGTTGCAAATTGACCCCTCCCCAAAAACAATATTTTTTTATTACCCCCCCCCCTTTTTTGCAAAAAAAAAAAAAAAATATTTGAAGAAATTTTCTTTTTTAATTTCTGAAATCTGAAATGAGAAAAAAAACCCCCTTTTTCAAAAAAAAATCTTTCCCTCAAGATATGGTCATAATCTCAATTCAAATTTCCAATGGAGTTTACAACCATAATTACCCATTTAAATACATCATAAAAGTCTTAAAATAGAAAATGACATACATAATCATGGCTAAAATTAATATTCCTTAATCAGCATTTTAATAGTAACTTCTAAAAATAAATGGACAGCTAATCACCTCAAAACAATACAACATTTCTTTATACATAATTTAAAAGCAGTGTAAGGGAGGTAAACCAAACATAACATTGTACTTTTAAGTAATTGTCCATTAACCAGGAAACCCTTGTTTTTTCACCTTTTTTGCCCCTTATTCCTAAACAGTTTGAGCCATAACCCACCAAAGCCAATCCTAACAATCCCTTTGTGGGATGGAAACTTGTGGTCTAATTTCAGAGAGATCCATACACCTTTCCACAAGTTATTGTCTGGAAACCAAATGTCTTCGGACGAAGCAGACGACGACAACGTGATACCAATATACGACTGCAAATTTTTTTGTGGTTGTATAAAAATAGCATTGTATGATTAAAAATTATGTTTCAGTAAATCTATGGCAGTCTTTCTTTGCTTTGAAAAAGATACCCCTATGAATGGACAATATGTTGGACTTGTTCGTAAAAATTGTTTACTGTCCATCATTTATGTATTTCAAGTTCTCAAGATTCTTCTGATACTATGCTTTTTTTTCAAGTTTTTGTAAACTACTGCATATCTGAAAATAGTTGAAAAGGACATGATTTTATTAAAACTATCCGATGTTATTAATTTTTGCCTACCTTCTAGGTTCTAATTTTGCAGCTACAATTCTACCACCATCCCATCCAAATTCTTGTCCCCAGTCAGTGTTTTCACCACTATGGAAAGTGATAGTTACATCTACATGGTTGAACACATAGTATGTATTCTTTTCACTGTATTTATTCTACAAAAAATATAAAAAGAAAATTATAATCTCTTTAAAAACAAAATAAACTGCTTCGCTGAGCGCAGCTGGATACGCCCGCAGAGGTCCAACCCTGAACAGTTGGGGCAAATATGGACACAATATTCAAGCTTGATACAGGTCTGAATTTGGACTGTAATTAAATATTTGACATATTATAGGTTTCTGAATAAATGTAGTCAAAGAACTTGAAATTGGTTAAATGAATTGAATTTTTATTCAATTAAAGATTTCTTGCTGTTGTGCAATACACTGTGCTGTTGCGTAATACTTAGTAAATCTGTTGTCAGACTATAAACAAAAAGTTCAATTTCTTCTCAATGTCATATTTGAAATTTATGAAAATCAATAGGGAGATTACACCAATAGATATAAATAATTCACAAAAGTTTCATGAGAACTGCTGAAAGCATTTTTGAGTTTTGTGCAAAAATTGGAAAATCCCCCCTTTTTTAATGAATAAAACCCCATAACTCAGAAAATAAAAAAAATCTAAAATTTATAAAATTCTAAAGGGAGCTTACATCAACAGATATAAACAATTCACCAAAGTTTCATGAGAACTGCTAAAAGCATTTTTTAGTTATTGTCTGAAAACTGGAAAATTCCCCTTTTTTTATGAATAAAACCCTTTAACTCGGAAACGTAAAATCTAAAATTTATAAAAATCGAAAGGGAGCTCATGTCAATAGACATAAACAATTCACCAAAATTTCTTGCAAGTTGGTGAAAGCATTCTTGTGTTATTGTCGGAAAACTGGAAAATCCCCCCTTTTTTAATGAATAAAACCCCAAAACTCAGAAACAGTAAATCTGAAGTTTATAAAAAACGAAAGGGAGCTCACGTCAATAGATATAAACAATTCACCAAAGTTTCATGCATATTGGTTAAAGCTTTTTTGAGTTAATGTCCGACATGTTGACGACGGACGGACAGACAGACGGTCAACCATAATACGTCCCGTAAACGGGCGTATAAAAACAAAACTTTTCCTTATTTGATTTCCATTAAAATCCACCCCCCTTTTTTTTTAAAATATACTAAAATGCAGACTAATTCTTGTGTTCAGAGTACCTAGCATTTGTTAAGAAATAATTAGATTTGCTGATTTAATTATTTTAAAGGAGCAGTCATCATTGTGAAAATGGAATTGTGTTTTGCTTAATGGTACTTTCGCAAAAATTATATACACTCTCTCAGACCGAGAGTTGACAGAGTTTGCTTATCATGGGTTATCTAGATTCTGGTGGTTATAATCTTATTTTTCATATCCAACAACCATTCAGAAAAGATGGATCAAATATGATTCAAATATATAATTTTCAGACAAATAATTTCTGCTCTTCAATTATGATTACCATTTTGCACAACATTTTGCAAAGAGTAAGGAATATATAGGAATTCATCGCCAATACCCAATTCGTGAAAAATAGGTAACACAGAAAAAGTACAAATACAGTAAGAAAATTACTAGACCCTATAAAACCGGTAGTGAATGTTGTTTCTGATCTAATTGTTTTCTTGAGCATCAGCTGTGGCTACCTTAGCTATCTTCCTGTAGTAGTAGCAATTGGGTAATTCGTGTTCAGAAACTTTTTCTGTATTTTTTGTTTGTTTGTTACTTTACTTACACTTATAACACATGCATCCTTTTGTTTACCATCTTTGTCAACTAAACAGCCAATGGGAAACCCTGTAGAGCAATATTTCTGTCCATTTTCTACATCATAACACCATGTAATAGGCATGTTGTCTATTATCCTACAAGCAGATGCATTCATTCTAAATATTTTTTTGTGGTGACTTCTGAAAATTGTCATATGTTGGTAAATTCAAAGACATTATTAATGACTCAAAAGATATTATTCAACAATGAAATCTTTTAAAAAACATTTCAGTTTATAGATGAGTCCTTTGACCTTGACCTTTAACCTGCTGATAAAAAAATCAAACAGGGTCTTGTTGTTTTCAATGAATATCTCAAGCCAAGTTAAGTGAAAGTTGGACATATTGTTTAAGATATCATTCAATTTACCTCTAAATTCTACTGTAACATTGAACTTTGTGACCTCAAAATCAAAAGGGGCTTTATTCACCCCATGAGGCATAATTAAAGAAATTTACCCTACATCTACTGTACATCTAAATCTAAAAGTATATAAAAAAGACATACATAGTTTTCTGATTTACAACTGTTATCTTACCAGTGATGATTATAGTTCAAAGCAATTCCATTCTTGAGGAATTTTAATTTGCTAACTTTTTCCTTGTCACCATGAGCATACTCCTTCTTGCACACACTTTGACATTTTATTTCCTGTTTAAATGTCATCTGAAACAAATTTCATCAAATTAAAAAGTTGTTACTTTTATGAAATGCTTTAATATTTATATATGTCATATTTCTCAAAATGTATCACTTTTTGACCAAAAAAAATACAATGATCAATGAACATATACAGTTTTACCATTGGCAGAGGGAAGGCTTATTGTTCTGCTGCTCCTAACAGGAAAAATAATACATGGCTGTGTGACATATATGTATAAATGTATATTAAAAGAGTTATTGTTATAAATATCTGCAAGAGAAATTTAGAATGAACACCCACATATTTACAGATAATAGTATATAAAAAACATAATAAACAATACCTTGTAAGGAGATGGTCTTATTCTTTCTCCAAAAACATAATAAACAATACCTTGTAAGGAGAAGGTCTTATTCTTTCTCCAAAAACATAATAAACAATACCTTGTAAGGAGAAGGTCTTATTCTTTCTCCAAAAACATAATAAACAATACTTTGTAAGGAGAAGGTCTTATTCTTTCTCCAAAAACACAATACACAATACCTAGTATTAAGGAGATGGTCTCATCTTTCTCCAAAAACATAACGAACAATACCTTGTAAGGAGAAGGTCTTATTCTTTCTCCAAAAACACAATACACAATACCTAGTATTAAGGAGATGGTCTTATTCTTTCTCCAAAAACATAACGAACAATACCTTGTAAGGAGGTGGTCTTATTTTTTCTCCAAAAACACAATACACAATACCTAGTAAGGAGATGGTCTTATTCTTTCTCCAAAAACATAATGAACAATACCTTGTCAGGAGGTGGTCTTATTCTTTCTCCAAAAACTTAATAACAATACCTTGTAAGGAGATGGTCTTATTCTTTCTCCAAAAACAACCTGACCCAAATTTTCTGTTGGAGAGTTATCCTCATCAACAACACAGAAGTCAAACCTGAAAAAAAGTTAATCATGTACTGTACATGTTTTTAGCAAACTGACAACTGCAAGTACCAGTATATAATTTGACATAAGTTTGTCAAACTATGGGTCACTTTACCATTTTATTGACCTATTGTGTCTTTACACTCTTTTAATTATAAACAGTAATTTATAATCTCAAAATCATCTTTTTGTTTAGGACTTCTTTACCTATGCATGGTATGATGAATACTTTATGCAAGAAATGGGAGAATTAGTTAACTATTGACACTATTACCCAATCACAATGTATTGCCAGAGTAATAGTATTGGTGTACACACTTGAAAATATTACCCAGCATGCTTTCTCTTCTGAAACATTGAATAAGAAATACTAAAGAAGTCATATGATAAATGCAACAGACTTCTTTTCACCACAGATTGTTGATGGTTTTATTGATTTAGGAGAACTCATACATTGTATAAATATATATATAGCAAAACCAATCAAATACTTTGTCTTATCATCTGTCACTTCATCAATATAAAATTAAGGAGATATGGTATTATTGCCAATGAGGCAACTAAATGTAGATGTAAGCAATATAGGTATCCATACCGCCTTTAACAATGAGCAAAACCCATGCCGTAAAGCTATAAAAGACACCAAAATCACAAAATGTAAATCAATTCAAACGAGGAAACCAATGGCCTGATTTATCACAAAACATTTCCATGTATATGACCAGGGTTTCTGCTGGCGGTAGCCATTTTACGCATTTTACAAAAAAATAAAAATTGTGGCGATTAAAATTCATTATTGGCGAAAGAAGAAATATAAAGATTTGATTTCATCCATCTTGTTATTTTTCGGGTTTCTCAGACTTTACCTGATCAGACAATACTTGGAATTCGTTACGATTTTGACAGAAAATCAATAATCAGCTGATTGCATTTTATAGCTGTAGGCAACATTGGAATAATTAATAAAGGTGTTGATTGTATTGTTTAACAAAATTATTTGGTTAAATGGCGTCACGTCACCTAAAGGATTTTTTCACAACTCTGCGACACATGTGTTAACGTCTCCTCTTTTTCTTTTAACAATGATTCGGAAAAGTACATGGTTGTTATGACGAAAAATGTTAAAAAAAAATCTCTATCCTTTAACTTTGATAGAAATAATTTCTTTGAAGTGGGTACTTTACAATTGTTTTGGCGACGCACATGTTTCAAGCATAGTTTTACGTCTCAACTTTTTCTTTTTACAATGGTCTGGAAAAGAAAACTGTTGTTATGAAGAAATATACTCAAAAGTAAGAAAAATCTCAGACTTTAATCTTTATCCTTCAACTAGACAGGAAATATAATTATACATACGATAAGCTTCATGAAGATGAATCTGGTGTTCCCAGAGGGTCAAAAATGACGATTTCATGATCTATATTGCAATTTTACAGTATCTTTTTAAAAGTAAATGTTTAGTGTTTATTCATTACAATGTAGATTAAAACATAAGATTTGTGGAATTATCATAGACAACATTGAGGCAAACTGATTTTTTTTGTTAGAAAGAAGGAAAATTTTAAACAAAAAATATGTTTATGTTAGTTGACGAAAAAAGTTGAGAGTGTTGAAAAAAATATTGTTTTACGAAAGAGGGGAAAAAGAAAATTGACTCGGGGGAAACCCTGTATATGACATTGTAAAATGTGAATTAATGCTGGTATGCTTGGTAAAGTAGACAAATGTTCCACAAATAGAAAAGGAACTGCTTATCCTTTTAGCAAGGTAGTTAACTCCTAGCTTTTGCTTATGTTCAATCTTTAGCGTTTTTTTACTGTTTTTTCCCCCCTCTTTTGGCAATGTCCACTGTCTATCTTACCTCTACTTATGTACATGTATTTATATTAAGATGTAATGTTGTCATGGTCTTAATTGACTGTATCTGAGAAACAGACTGGGATAAAACATTGAACCTATGTAACTGCAATGAATATCTGAGTAAACCTATTTTAGCAGGGGGCTGTTCAACACCATTGGACAAATTCTTTTAAAACATGACTGGGTCATTCTTTTTATAGACGTTCTTTGAAACAAACCTCATTGTTCCCTTTCAACATGTTTTTACAGAGACTTTGGATCTTTTATGTATCTATAGTATACTTTACAGGCAAAGCTAACTTTCCATAATTTTAACTTGGGCGTCTAAGATGTTGTAGCTGGGTGTGTATAAACTACTTCTCTAAACAAGCTTTGAGGTTTGTGATAACATTATATTACTCTTGACTACATGTTATGAATAATATGGTGTTGATCAAAATCATTCAGCTTATAATTTGTGTGTGTGTACTTACTTATGATATTCATATGGTACTACTGTTTCAACACTGTTGAGACGATTCACAAAAATTTTCAAATCAGTCTAAAAAAGAAATATAAAAGTCTTAAAAAGAACCCCAAAAAACATAGACAATAATGATTTTCAAAGTCTTCAATAAACTTCATGAAATGCAATACAGGGTTTGCATCATTTCAAAATCACAGGGAAAATTGGGTTCCTGTCAAACATTCTTTTACCTTAACTTACCTCATTTACCTCACGCTAAAATATAACTAATGTTTTACTGTATGTATCCATATAAATTAAAGTTTGTTTTTTGTTTGAATACGTGTATCGTGTCATAAATACACTGTGTCTGTACAGGTACAGGGATCTCCATGGATGAAAATTTAACGATGAAGGAACTTTCATCATCACAAAAGCCTCGTCTACAGCGTGGCGTGATCAAAAGTATTTCTTCCTTCATTTCTGTGTAAGGAATGGTGAACAAACTGATATATTGCTTATTATATTTATTTCAAAATAGGATAACCAATTTTTTCATTAATTGTCATTTGTAACAATTCCAATGTCAAGCCTGCAAGGCTCCCCCTTAGTCAAGAAATAACCACATGCTGTCCTCAAGCTTCTCAAGTTGTTTTTTTGCTATTTTGGTTATTATTTAGAACTTAAAAATCAGGGGGGGGGGGGGGGGGATCTTTTTTTTCATGCCTGTTTTGTAAAACATTGAAGAAAGATTTAGAGGGCGAACGTTTACAACTTAAATGGTTTGTAAATCTTGTCTTGCTGATCATTTTTGAATACATTAATTTTTTCAAGGGGTGATTTGTCATGTAATGTATTGCATGGTTATCTTATGTTTTTTTCTTCCTTTCTGTGAAACAAAAAAACAAACAGGTTCACTGACATGAGGGTTAAAGCTAGGATTTTGAGGGCTTTAGTCACTTTTGCATGATAAGAAAACTGACCTTTCTTGGGTATCAGCTCAACTTGATAGACTAAGGTAGTTATTCAATAGGATTAAATACACGAAAAAAAACAACATGTGTACTTTTATTTTCTTTGTCAGTATTTCATTAGTATAAAAATAAATATATAACAATTAAGTTTAAAACAAAACAGCTGTTTTTCTTCAAAAGATACATATTGTGTGTTTTTATTTGATTGTTAATGTCTAAAAACAGGGACTAATGGGACTAATCTAATTACTCTATTGATCAATGTTCTTGTCCTTATAATTAGCTCATGGTGTGTATATGCTACAGAATAGAGAAAAAGTTTTAAAAGTAAAAATAAAGAATTGAAAAAATTTGCAAAAAAATTAAGAAGAGAGAATAATGGGTGCTTAAATATACAGAAAAGAGAAAATTTGTATAAAAAAGAAAGAATACAGAAAATGATGACCAAAGCCCCCTATCCCAACCCGGACTCGTTTAACTTTGCCCATAACTCAAAAGACCTCCTTAACCTATAAGTCCCAAAGTCAGAAGTATGTAGACAGATCTCTTCAGTAGGTATCTCAATACTACAAATGTACTAGGAAAAAAAAAAATTAGTTATCTTTCTTGTATTTGGGTGTGCTCCTTCTTCGGAGCATTATACACAGATGAAGTGAATACACTCAACGGCAGCCTGTTTCATTAACTTCGATAGTGAGGGCAGTCAAAGACAAAATACGTCTGAATTTAACATTTTTAACAGAATACAAGTAAAACAATGTTTCTTTATAAGTTTTATTATGGTTTTCTTCTTTCTGTTATTTTCGTTTTCATCATGAAACAACGGTAATGTTACAAATTGTGCATCTTCGCTAGCCAAGGGTTACGATCCACTTCCCTCCTCTCTACCCTTGGCAGATTAAGCCAACATTTGTGATAACAATGTTGCGCCATCTATCGGTAGATTAAAGTCACGCCCCTTCCAAATACATTATTCTTGACCAATGGTAGCACTTGAACTCTTCAATTTGGAGGTAAAAACACGGTAGCGTCAAGATTAAACTGGACCCCTGTTGTGTTCACTTATCGCTACACTAAAGGTGCGTAACTTTAGATGGAATGGTGGACCAGTTTACGTCTAGATTCTACACACTAGGTTAAGCAGGAAACGAAAATATCCGTTGACATTCATGCATTTGTGCAAGAAACATTCACAGGAACTTCTATTTGTTGATTGAAAACATTCAAATTGTCACTAAATATAGTCGTATGTTTAGGGATGTAAAGACTTGTTGCACAATAAACACGTGGCAATTGTTTACATACACTTTCTACATTTACACGTGATCATGTTATAGGTGCTTTTTGATTGGATGCAGCGAGTTTCGACTGCAACCAATGAAAATCATTACCTTGTGTCTCCGAAATTCTATCTCAATCTTCCAAGGATGGAGAGGAGGGAAGTGGATTGTAACCCTTGGCTAGCGAAGATGCAAATTGTGTTGCCCTTTACATTCTTCAATAAGAAATGACAAACAGAGCTCCAGATAAGCTGCGTATTTGCGTGATCACGCAATACAAATGATTAAAAACCCAATGCAATTGCCCATTGCAGGGTTCAATAACCCAATTAATTCAAAGGAAAACCCAATTATATGCCAAAACCATGAGTTCTTAACGCTTTTATTCGCTATCGTTTGCGTTATTTACCCTTATCTAATTACAATCGTCGCGTAAATCTATTTTTATAATATTTACAATTGGAAATTTCCTTTCGTTCTATAAATAGAGCCCTGCATCAAGTAGCTGAAATGGGTCCCTGTTGGAATTTTCCGTTGCTCAAAAGGTACACGTGTTTATGAAAACATTTCGATCTTCTCGGCGTTTATCCAATTAGCGTTTTTTTCGAATTGCTCGGGACTTATCGTAACATACAATGAATTAAAACGAAAGTAAATGTCCGGTAAAAATATTGAATAGAAGCATGTTTTCAGCTTCTTTTTGATAGCTGAGGACAAGTTATGGTGATAACAAGACTCAGCTAGTGTTTTATGAAGCTACCGTCGAACGCACGGGCGTGTTGGCGTACCTTAACGAGAACATTGCTAGAACGATAAACACGGGGTTTCTTCAAGAATGAAATGAGTTGGAAAAAGTGAAAGGCCAAATTAATTATGACATGTTATATAGTTGGAAAGCATCGGAAACCAAAAGTTCTAATAAGGGACAACTTAACCCAGATTTATGTTAATTAAATTAAACAAAAACATTCAGGTATAATTTTAGTTTATATATTATTTTTTTTTCATTTTTAGATGATGAGTGAATACACATATCCGTTTTTTTTACGTCAATGCAGCTTGACACTTTCTTTATTTTGGTCTAATTGTTCTGTATGCTTAAGATAGCTGTCTTATTGGCAAGTGTTATTTATTTATTTGATGTTGCAGAATTATTTGTAAATTGAAGTTGAATGTGGTGTCCGTAATTAAACCACCCTTTAAACCTGGTCAAGGTTTTGGGGTATATCTTGAATCTGGGAACTACTTATTATTTTTATTAAAAAGTAGATCTGGCAAATAGGTGAAAGGACTGGCAAAACTTTCTTACAGCACCTAAATTTCACATATATTACATAAAAATCTTAACACTAAGCCACACCTACCCCAAATAAACTGTAGGATATCATAATGGATCTAGAAAGGTAATTAGTTACTGTCCAACTAGTGATTGATACCAGCTGCAGTTTATATAAGTTGCGAGAAAATACAAAACTGGCAGAACGTTTAAAACGGGACACAAATCAAACGTGCAATTGCTCGTCAGTGAATAAACCAAACAAAACAGCTAGCACATATACAAAGAAAGAAACATATTAAAGATGGAAAAACATCTTGGGTTGATATAATGTGATTATAACATGCCTAAATATTCAATATTGTGTTGATGAAAAAACCCAATACATTAAGGAGCTTGGTGGTGAAAAACCCAATTTGATATTTGCTTGAGGGGTGAATCGGAATTGATAATGCAATTAAAAAACTCTATCACCCAATTACATAAAAAAATGATGGGTAAAAACCCCAATTTGGGAATTCTTATCTGGAGCTCTGGACAAATACTGACTGACGTGTTCTATTTGAATGAATTAACTTTGAAGATCATTTATGACCCATCAGTTATGTAGATTACCTGTAACAACAGATAATGACCCCTGTTATGACTGCTTATTAGCTTGGGTCATTAACAAAGTCATAAACTTGTCACCAGGTAAAATTTTGTAGTTTATTATTTCACTTTAACCAATTTAAAAGACGATATCATTACCGTAACGGTCAAGAAATGAAACTTTTGACATGGGAAAATGTTGCTGCCAGTAATATCGCCAGCAGCCGAATATAGTAGCCAGCCGATATAAAAAATTCACAATTTTCAACATTGGCGAAACCCAGTGCAGTCCCTGAATTAAGTCATACTTGATTGTAAATTAAACAGCAGTCTACCAAGCTAGCAACTAGTCTGATGCCCCAGACTAGTCACATTTTATTCATTGCACTTAGATGTACATTCACCCTTCAGAGATTCTGTGTCTGAAGCGATTTTATGGGCGTCCAAATAAGAAATAACTTTGGAACACTGAATTATCCCAAAACTTGGCAAAAGGTATTTAGCAGTTTAGATGTACAATGTCAATAAAACGTAACTGGTACTATGAAACATGCAATTTATTCGTTGGTTAGTGGAGGGGTTGTTGTAACAATAATGTTATGTCAAAGAAATGCACAGACGTACAGGACGTTTAGAATATACTTGGCTCGACTCAGTGTATCCGGTGGTATACGTAGTCAGCCCCGTGTAGTTTTAGAATACCTTGCAATTTTTATGGTCTTGGAGAGTCTTATCACAATAAACTACAGGTGCCAGGCCTGGTAAATAGAAGCCCTCGGACATCACTACCAGAGTTGCCAGAAGACAAAATAGTCGTTGAAGGACTAAATACATTTTTTGGGACGTTTATAACTTTTCGAGTTGTCAAGATGGCTAACACGTCATCCGGCAAAATGCGCAGGCGCATTCAGTTCAGTTTCTTGTATATTCCTCCATTAATTGTGGAGCACTACCCATAGGGTATAATTGTAGCAACTATATACACCCTAGAACATAAGGAAACATTTAATTATGTACAGATGACTGAATTTAGGCAATAATAATTACTAAATAATTAATATTATAACGAATTCACAGGATTGTCATCATAAAAGTTTAAAAATAATATTCATAATGTGCTGAAGTGTAAGAATAAGTTAAGTAAGAACTGGATATATTTACAAACAAGAATTTAGAATTTAAGTGGTCTTAAGTTAAACTTTCTTATTATTGTTAGTTAAAGGTGCTATACGTACATCAGAATTTATAATGAGAAGGTTATTTTATAAGACTTATGTAAAAGAATTTGGGTTTAGAACAATTCATCATATATACATAAGTTACCTTATTTCGGATCTTATCATTATTCTTTAAAGGTACCTGGATATCTTAAAACTTTGCAAATTTTTTTATTTAATTTAGGTCCTAATACGTCATAAAATAGTAAGACGGTAAAGTAGGGAACTATTTTATTACATTATCAAGTATCTAAAACACATATCGCAGTCCCGTGTATTTCCTATTTGATTTGATTGTATTATATAAAAAAAACCAGTGATTGTCAAGAGACAACTATCCATTAAAGATCATACGACAAGGATGTTAACAACTAGATCTACGAATTATCATACATACACTAAAAACCCTCAAAACTAGATATATTCTAAGGGAACCACCATTTACTGTAAGGTAGTTATTTCATATGGGTTATATAGAGGAAACTTAATTTGTCCTTATTAAGGAAATATTAAACAATAGGTTAGGACAATGCTTTGATTGATGCTCTCCATCTTGAAGATTAATCACCAAAAGGCCAAGTATGGAATGAAAACCCCCCAAAAATCTTTTAAGTGAAACAAATTAAGCAGTCACATGTAAATATTGTGTAAATAATTTCTTAGAATGATTGGAGCTTGGGATTTTTAAGCATGTCTTGGATTTAATAATAAAAAAAAACAACAACTAAACCAGAATATTTTTATCTTTATAGTAAATCAGAATAGCTTTTTTTGGCCACTGCTGCGAGTTATTATTTATTTTTCTTCCCTTTGGAATATTTTTTCTCTCTTAAAAAGCATACCTCCTTTATGTTACTTGGTTTCCCTAAATAAATGTTTTAATGAATTGAAGATTAATATCATTTAAAAAGAAACGTGGAAAGCTGTTGAATGAATCGGTTTATATTGTAAATTATACTTTATAATGCACTAAACACCTTTATAGTATTTTTTAAAAGGGTCTAATTGAAAACACGTGACGTCACGGGAAAGGTTTTTTTTTTTGGTGTGGATGACTAATCTTTGATTGTTTCTGTTAAATTTATTCACAGTGTGTTGAACTTAGAAATGATCACTTCGTGGACTCTCATTATGGACCTACCAAATGGAGTGAAAGCTTTACTTGTTACCATGAAATTGGATGGAAAAGAGCCGGAATGGAAATTCACCGACAGTTCTGACCAAGTCTCAGTACAGCTCACATGGATCAAGGCCAAGGAACCGGACACGTCCTCCAGGAAACCTAAGCCGGCCCTTAAAAGTAAGAACAAGCCACCGTCTACCAGGAGACGCAACGCTAAGCGTTTCGCCCAGTGGATGGACACCAAAACGGCCGTTGTTCCCGCTACTCCACAACATCAACTGAAGCATGAAGGCCACCGTAGATTACAGCAGTCAGACGGAAGCCAGGGATACCGTTGTTGGCAAACAACTCACACCAACTAAATACAGAGGTGAATCAGTGGGAGTTATCATCAATACTGATATAGTCACCAGTCCGTATAACCCCAAAAAGGCATGCCATCGCCTTTATTACTACACCTCAGCCACAGAAAAAGGCAAACGTAGTAGGATCGATTTCGATGAGGGGTTTGACACTGACGACCCTGAACTACTACGCACACCACCGCATACGTCGCCCTTCAAAATAACATCAAAAGAGGCTATAGAAGCTGCCATACTAGCCGAACGGCCAAACACTCCATTCCAGCACCAACACAGAAGTCGGAGCAAAATGAAAGCTAAAAGACAAGCAGGACCAACTCTGTAACAATAGGGAAGATAGTCCGCAATATCTTAAAGGATAGCCGGACTCTAAAATCCACATATCATCAAATTTATTCACAACTTGTTTAGACTATAGAAGATTATCATATTACATGTCTACTGTTGAAAACTGTATGTTTCCCATCTATATGCCTTTTGTGTTTTTCGTAGGGTTGCTGACTGCATGAACCAACCTCGAGTACTTCCTTGAAATACAAACAGCTAGATATTTAAAGTTTAGAAGCACATATCCACAAAAAGCCGGAAATCCGACATTTATTTAGATTATAGGAATGACTACTATATCAAACGAGAATTTGATTTAGGCAGAATAACCACCGGGAGCTTGACAATAGAATCTGGGAGACATACACTATCGTTTAATTTGATCTTTCACTTTGTTAGATTTGTTTTGTTGTGACATGTAGGTTGAAAATATGATTAAATTTGGAGACATATTAAGCGAAAAATCAATAGCTAGTGAAAATTTGAGCTGCCGCCACAATGTGAACTAATGTCGAGTCTTTTTATAGCCGACTATACTGTATGAGGTTTTCTCATTGTTGAAGGCCATACGGTGGCCTATAATTGCTTATATCCACTTCATCTGAACTCTCAATGGTGAATAGTTGTTTCATTGGCAATCATACCACATCTCCTTATTGTTATAATGAGGCTCTCTCAATAAACTTAACCTAATAGAAAATGAACTGACGTTCGTTCATGAGTGCATTAAGGTCTTTATAACCATCAATAATAATGAATTTATTCGTAAGAAAAACAGCTCATAGACTATATATACATTCAACAAATATTCACAGCACAATACATGTAGCACCAATTAATGTGCAAACAATAGGAAGTCACAACAACAGAGATTAACAATAACTGATTTATTTCAGCAAGATATCAATATGTTCCTAAACTATTCAATTCTATATCATTATGAATTACATACAACAAATATATTCATGTTCCTAAATTATTCAATTCTTTTACATTATGAACAGACAATAGAGATGGTCGTCTCCAGTAATCATCTTTAATATAATAATACACCCTTCTTATAATGGCATATTTTTCACATTCTAGAAATTCTAGAAATACAATGATGCTCGTCTTCAATTAAATGTTTTCACACATTTTACATAAACGCATATTTCTATCAATGTTATAATTACTACCGATTTTTACAGCTATGCTATGAACAAATGAAAGATTTGTACATATAATTCACACTACGATCTAAATAAAATTGCAACCCGTATGGATCAAATATAAATCCATAATCGATGATTTTTCCAAAAAAGCTCTATTTGAATTCATGTAGAAATAATTCAGTTTTTGTATTGGCACCTTGGTTATACCATCATCATAAGATCAATATTGATATAAAATATCGCTAATTGTACATGCCCAGTTGTACTTGTCATTATATTTAACAACAGACCTTTCTAACATTTCTTTATAACAATACTTTAAAATACACTGATCAGTATATAATACAGTTTGAACCAATTTTCCAGCATTCTACAATATCTATTGACAAATATAAGGAATCTTCCTAATTCACAATACACCATAGAGTTAACAGCTGAATTCATTACTTTAAGAATACGTTTTAAGAAGCTTAAATGAACATTTTCAATATCATCTGCATTGCAGTGTATTCAAACTTCAAAACTATAGTTTAGAATACAAGATATATATATATTCATCTTACCTCTTATACATTTCTAGGAATATGATTGGGTAAAAGCGACCGCGTGGAGACCCTCTCACCCCATATGGAACTTACTGACCCCATATATATCGTATTAGGTCACTAGTGTCATAGAGTCATTTATACCTCATTCAATAGTTTTGTGAAAATTTAGTTTTCAGCAAAAAAGAACAAGTTTAATTCATTTTCTTTATTTTAAGTCTATTTCGAAGCTGAAATTGTGGTTAATAGTATTTTTGATTTAGATTCGTTCATTATTGTTGAAGGAAATCATTTTAATATTTTCGATAAATTTAAAATAAGAAGTACATTTTTAGCAGATATCTATTTTGGCATTTTGTCACTTTAGATTTTCTCTTTCTTAATTATTATTTTTATCAATATAGATATTTAGCGCCAAGCTAAGTGGACACAATTAGGCATGTTTTATTTTACTAAGTCTATTGTCCTTTAAAAATAAACAAGTTGTTGTGTAAACAACATACAAGACAAGACAAGACAAGACAAGACAGACAAGACAAATACTTTATTAAAGTCTCACCTCATGTACATACATATAAAACATAGACATATATAAATAACAGCGTATACATAAGCCACTCTAAAAAGAGTTATGAGAGACTGATTAAAACACATATACATAAAAGAAATGTATATACAAGCATCAAACCTATTTGTTACATCGACATATATAAAAGGTAAACACCAGCTTATACATAAGCCACTCTAAAAAGAGTAATGAGAAAATGATTAAAACATTTGACATAAAAGTAATGTATATACAATCATTAAACATATAAAACACTTTTTCTTTTTAATAGTATATCGTGGCAGATTTTGGCAATGTAAAATTGCGTATCATCATTATTAAAAATAAAATTTAAGTTTTTCATCATCAAGCATATTCATAAAACTATCGTCAAAGTGACTAGCACGATTAAAAAGGCTATCACGTAAATCTGCATATATTGGACATTGCAATAAAACATGTTTTTCATTTTCAATATCATTACAATTAAAACACAACCTTTTCTCTAAACAGATATTCTCGTATCTTCCTGTTTCTATTCGAATAGGTGCGACGCCACACCGAAATTTAGACATAGCACACCTGTATTGACCAGGCATATTTTTAATCAAATAATTC